TTTAGGTCAGCAGTTTCACTGTAAGTGTGACTGCTTTTAATTTATTTGTGTCTGTTCTGTAAACCTATATTCTCCATAATCCCACATCGCAGTGAAACTGTTACTTACCTGTTGGAAGTCCATTATAAACTCAAACACAGAGATCATGCCTTTGCCAAAACAACCCCTGGCAACTAATCTTTTGCTAATTTTACCTTGGTCCTGAGGGAAAACCTTTTCTCTCCACTTTTTGTGCAACCTGTCCTATTCGCACAGGAAAAGGAGGCCTCAGTGTCACAATATTTGCTTGGATTCTCCTCTGCACCTTGTAGAAGGGGGAAAATAATCTGCAGGGACCAATTTTGCAAAAGAAAGAAAGAAAGAAAGAAAAGAAAACCATTAAAAAACTCATTAAAGGATTTCAATGTGAAAATTTTATTTAGTCTTCGTCATCTCACAGAGATATCTTATCATATTAATACAAAGGTATCACATTACTGAAGTAACAAATTGCAAATTTAGTTACAGAAAGCATGTTAATCACAAATGAAAAGGGCAGAAATTTCATAAATACAAATTTGAGACATCATAATTAGGTATTACAACTGTAAATAAAACCACTAGGCAAATGTAAAGGGATTTCAGGTTTAAGTAAATGGAACAGCACAAAATTAATGAATCAATGAAAAAGCAATGAGGTTTGGACTGTTATAGATTTTACACAGACTAGATTTACAATAAAGCAGTGAAAGTATATAGGAAAAATTTATATAATAAATGTTTTAGCACTTCAGTCATTAAAATAAAGAATAAAGCACACAAGTCATTATGAGGGACAAACAGTTCTCTCTGAAGTATGCCATTTAAACACCTGCATCTCCTCTTTAGGAAAACAAATATATATTTTACTTTTTTGCAACAATAAAAATATATTAAATTATGACAGATGTGCAGTTAATATGTCTTGTGATCAATATATTAATAGCCATGTGTGTTGTCCCAAAAATGCTGCATGTATTGAAATGACAGACCCTATGAATGAAAATAAAACAGCATCGAATAATGTGGAATAAAGGCTGTGCTTAGCAAACAAAACTGAAATCTAAAACTTACAGTAGCATTTCTGTACATTTCAGAACAGCAACATCATTGTATCTTTTGTGACCTTTTTCTCCTATATCTTTTACCACTCAGTAGTACATCATATCTTCTATATCAGAGGATGCTGAATGTATTATCTGCAAAATATTCATTACTTTAATGTGGTATCCTGTCAGTAAAGGTATGTTAAACTTCCATGTTGGAAAGTAACAGACAAAGACAAATGTCATTTGTATTCGATCAACTTATACTTTTGTAGCTAGGTTAGATGCTGTTTAAGTTTGTACTTAGTTATGGTGGATGCTAATGTTTGCGATTAATAAAAAGCACACTAAATGCACAAAACTGTTCTTCGGGAGAGCTGTCATACTTAATCATCTATCAGTTTTAGGTGTATAATAAATTAATATGCTATGTGTTTTTAGTTTGACTTCTCATATGCCACCAATTACTTTATGTTCCCCCACACAAAATTACATAACATATAATTTTAGAAATAAATTAAATTAAGTAAATAACATTGTACATTCTATGTGTGATAAGTTTGCCCTTTTGTATGTTTTAAAGACTGCTTGACAACAGGTTTGGAGAATATAAACTCGACAAAGCAAGGCAGCTTTGTTAAATCCAAGTGTTTCTTGATACATGTTTAAAAACTATCATAAGGTCAGCCAGTGTGACCTTGCATAAAATCAACACAGGAAATGTTTACGGCTGTCCTAACTCTGTGGATGATTACAGGCTGGTGTTAAAGTGTTAATCCTGAAGACTGTCTGTTTGGATGGATTTGGTGACAGAGTGAGTGTTGATCAAATCATGTCATGTAAGACATGTGACCTGATAAACTCAAGTTTACCAGACCTCTGTAGCCCGCTCCTCATCTCTCGTTAAGGCTAGCAGCTCAAGGCTACATCAGCTGGTAATAGCATAACACACCCAAATGTCTGACCAAATTGTTGGTGGTCAAGTGGAAATCTGTTTAAATATAGGTGCGGACTTTTAACTCAGGAGGTTGGTTTGGGGGTTAGAGCTAAAAGTCATACTCCTGCTTGAAATCAACTGTTATGTGGTTGTAGGTGCACAAATGATTTACAAGAACCTAATAGCAGGTTAAGAATATGTTGTTGCTAGTTGACTAGCCAAAACATGCACAGGACATTGGGTATAATTTCCTGTGGATACTTGTACCACCTGTATAGTACCATTTTGGGAAAATATTTATTCGTATTAGAGTTACATGAGAAAATTGACACCACTGTCATATCTGCACATTAACTATGGAGCTACAGGCCGGAGTAATTAGCTTATCTTAGCATAAAGACAGGTGGCGGGGTGGAAAACTACTAGAAGTCAAAAACAAGTAATTCCTAAAATCTTATATTGTTCCTTTCATTTTATGGGTTCGTTTTGACTGTACCACTGATACAATCAAATAAGTTACAACACATAAAAATGTTGAGGATTAACGCTTTAAATCCAAAATGAACAGAGCAAAGTGAACAGAGATTAACTAAACTCTGAGTTTTCACCTTTCGGTCTGTAACATTCATGGGGGTCACAGCAAGCCAAGAAATAACTTGGAAGTTGAGGCAAAAAAGGTGGAGACAGACATTAAACTTGGACATGAACCTGTGCTCAAGTTCATTTCACAAATAAAGATAAGAAATTCATCTTCCAATGTTTATCAAACACATGCTTCCAGGAGGATTGCAGTGGTCCTGAAACTAGGCTGCGCTGTAGGCTATGAGTAACAGTCCAGCCACAGGATTTGTGGGTATTTGACAACCTGTCAGAACACTCCCATCATTCAGTTTGGTTTTGCAAACCAGTGGTTGAGAAACTCTCCAAGTAGCGGAGCATTCTGCAAATCTGACACATAGAGGAAAATCCTAAACTATATCCACTCTAATGTCCAGAGCTAAATATAAAGGCATCAGAAGCTACAAAATGAACATAGATAATAGAAAAAACATCATAAAACAGCAGATCTTCATTGAACCTGGACACACACATCCTTCAGAGTTAAGACCTGGGAAGAGAAGAAGAGCATTATTAGCGGTGAAATATGTTTTGTGTACCCTTGTTGTGAGAGACTAAGAATGTACAGCTTTGAAAAGAGATAAATAGTTTAAAATTTCAAGTAAGTCTGGCTCATTACAGCCTAATTATGGTCATTAAGTTTATTAAGTTTATTAAGTTTATATTGTTTCTGTGATGCCCCCTACAGGCAAAAACCCATCAAATCTTACAGGATCGTTACTTGCTATATCGGACTTTCTGCATGGAATATTATATAAATTAGATAAAATGAAGTGTGCGTAGAAGAGAGAGTAGACAAAAACATGTTTGACCGAGGAATCCAGGCATAATAAGAGTAACAATCATAGACTGTACATAAAGATGGACGTATCACCCATGGGTTTCTGAAGAGTAGTTTTGAAGCTCAGAGTGAGCTGCTCCATTGTCGCCATCTTGGCCTGCCTCTGCCAGCTAATCCAAAAATGGGTGAAGAATTGGGGTGTGTGTGGTGCCAATGACACATGATGTATTGAAATAATATCAAAAAGACATCAAATGATGTGAAATAAAAGCTGCGCATAGCGAACAAATCTGAAATCTAAAACTTACAGTAGCATTTCTTTACATTTCATCACAGAAACATCATTGTAACTTTAGTGAACTTTTTTCTCCTACAACCTTTACCACTCAGTAGTGCATCTTATGAAGTAACTGCAAAGCAACCTCCTACAAAATATGTTCCTCTGCAACAGAAATATGTCTCGGAGGAAGTCTAATAATGTAGTGATGCAGACCATTTTCTCTTCTTTATATCAGACGATGCTGAATGTAAATTACCTGCAAAATATTCATTACTTTAATGTGGTATCCTGTCAGTAAGACTTCTGTGCACCTGTCACTCAAAGTGACCACGCCCTCAATTATGCAGAACTTTAAGCCTTAATAAAATTTATACAGGTGAGTTATATAAAAATTCACCCCCTGTACAGTTGTCATGAAGGGGTACATTAGCTAGAGAGAACTTTTTTGAACCAAGCTGTAATCATGTTTATTTCTACTGCAAAGTTTGACAATTTAACATGGGAGTCTATGGGGATTGACTCCCTGTTGGAGCCAGCATCTAGTGGTCATTCGAGGAACTGCAGTTTTTGTTGTTCGCTTCCGTGTTGGCTTCAGTTTTCAGCCCCAGATGTTGCCACTTGGTAAACATGTAAAATGCTTTCTAAATGGACACGTGGTGGCGCTATCCTCACCAAAACCGCATGAGATCTTCCTAAGCCAAACAAATGTCTTTAGCCGACCAAGTCTCACTATAATAATTACAAATTTGAGAAAATCCACCTTCTTGCTGTTTTCTTTGTGACGCTCACAAAGAGGTGAAAGCTTCAGTGTAAATTGCATTAAGTTGATCAAGAAATAGCTGCAATGTGTAAACGCCCTCCTAAGACAACACATTGCTGCAGGTTTTTTGTGTATGCACGATTCACACAACACATAAATTAGTCAGCTTTAGATGTGCTGGCAGGGAAGTTTTAGAACTCTGGACAGAGCCAGCTGCTGTTTCTACCTGTCTCCAGTCTTTATGCTAAGCTGCTGCTAACTACATTCTGATTCCAGCTCTGTATATTTGCCAGCTTGCACGCCAGCTTGATATTGATCGTCTCATCTTACTCTCAGAAAGAAAGCAATTAAGCATATTTCTCAAAATGTTGAACTACTCTTTTAAGTTTCAGAGACATCCTGCCAGCGAACAGACAAAGAGGACTGAAACACAAGCTTCTGGACGGAGATAACTTTGTACATTTTGTCTCTTCGTCCTGCTCGTATGCTGCAGTCTTATTACAATTTCTATGTGTATTCTAAAGGCCTTGTTCAAGCCACAGTGAAGCTGATAAACAGTATCAGTCACACTGGGGATTAGTTACACACAGTGCACCCATCCCACTGCTCATCTGCTTAATTCCAACTCTAATCATTTGCATGCTGCAGAGTGTCTGAAACTTACTGGACATCTTTGGTATGCGGATGGGGCCGCTGCTGGTGCCATCGCCCCCTTTGGTCAGAGCTTTGATCTCAATGAGGTAGTCCTCTCCGGAAGGGATCTGCAGCTCCACACTGGTCTTATTGGTTTCCAGTACAGTGGTCCTGCCATGCCAGTTCTGACGATACACAACCTGGAGGAGGAGAGCATGGATCCTAGGTTCAGCCATGACGGTCAGAAATTAAACCGTGATGACCTCTCAGCAGATGAATGTATGATTTAATTCAACATTAAATTTGTGTGTGAAAAGTAAATTCAAATCCCAAAAGCAGGAAACTTGTGGAAATGGAAAAATTTTGGTTATACCGTCTCGTTTGGTGGTTTGACCTGATGACTCAACATGGAGGAACAGAGGCACCTCAAAACAGAACCTCTGACATCCTTTTTTTATACTAATTAAGCCATATCATTTTATCTTTATCAAAATGCAGCAAAATCTTTTATTTTGTTGTTCAAAAGAATCACGCAGCATAAAGACACACACTGCGAATTTACGAACGGAAAAAAATTAAGAAACTTTTACATCTATTTCACAGTGCTGCCTTTGCAAAATCATTACAATATTCCCATCTACATGCACCGCACGCAGCCTTACAACAGAGCTCCACAAAAGACTTATCATTAAATGAGCAGGGCTGCATATCCCTGGATAATAAAAAATACATATATTTGTGGAAAGCATTATCAAAAACAGTGTTTTCTTCACACACTAGTATGCAAAGTGGATCAAAAATGATTCATAGTTGTAATGGTTGCAAGAAGCTGAATTCCATCTGTGGCATGACACCTTTCATTTTATCACCTTGAACAGATCTTTTAATTTTGAAAGGCCAGACAGGTCCAATCCATAATGCAACACTGGAGTGCTGAGGTCTATCTTTCCACTGCAATGAGAAAGCCATTTATTGGGATGACAGCTGCTGAGGCTCTATTTGTTTCCCCAGTTGTGGGGTTTCTGCTATTACTCTGACAAACTCACCTTGTATCCCGTCACCTCAGACTCATTTTCCATCGCCTTGACATGTTCCCAATTTAGAAAGATCTTAGAGTTGGTCAGGTTCCACTCAATATTCCCCGGAGGCTGACGCGGAGCTGCAAGAAATGAAATTATACGGACAAAAGTTTCACAAATGAATGCATAAACCAATGTCATCAATAGAACTCTCTAAACCAGCTCTGCAGTCAGCCTTGATTGAGTCATCCGCTGCTGCAGCAGAACGCATTTCAAACTATATGTGCTTCAGTCTTGAGGAACACACTGCAGAGAACAAAAACAGAAAATGCATGCTCTCTGATTACCCTTTACACACTACATCACTGACAGGCCGCAGTATGTCAGGCTGCGAGGCTGGTGCACCCCAGGGAACTGTACTGTCACCTCTGACTTCTGCTTTGACTCGAGAATGAGCGACCTACTAAAGCTCTCAGATGACATCGTCCACTGTCAGCTGTATCACCACTGAGAAGGAGGAGTATAGAGGCCTGGTCGAGAACCTCATAGGATGGTGCGAAAGAAAACCACCTGCGCCAGCTCAGTGTTGGGAAAACCAAGGAGCTGGTGGTGGACTTCCGGCACAACACAGGCCCCCCACTCCCACCCCTGTCGGGAGTGGAGATAGTTGACACCCACAAGTTTCTTGGGTTCAACTCAACAGCAAAGTGGAGTGGTAAGACCACACTGGGGCCCTCTACAGGAAAGGCCAGAGCAGGCTGTTCTTACTGAGGAGGCTCAGGTCCTTCAGTGTGTGCACTAAGCTGTTTGACCAGTCTGTAGTGGCCAGTGTTTTCTTCTTTGCTGTGGTGTGATGGGGAGGTGGCACTGGGACTTGGTGTGGTGAGGACGGTCGGATCCGTTGCGAGGATGGAGCTAGACAGTGTGGGGGCAGTGAGAGAGAGGAGGATGGGAGGGGAGCTGAAACCTGTTATTGAGAGACCCTCACATCCTCTCTCTGCGAGCTGAGGCCGCTCAGGTGCACGCTCAGCCACGGACTCATCCAGCCACGTGCCTACCTCCGCTGACTGAGGCTCACAACTGTACACCACTTGCAGTTAAACTGTCACCACCACAGATGTTGCACATACAAACAGATACTGTGTTATGTGGGACCGAGTCTGACAGTCTGCTACCCAGTGCTGAGCATCAGGGATCGCCACATGGAGTCGTAAGCATGCTGTGCTTTAGAAGTGGGACTTAACCTGTATCTGATCCTGTATCTGATCCTAGAGCCACAGCTCTGTGGCTTATACATACGGTATATACACACAGATCTATTTTATTGTACCTATTGGTCCTATTTTATATTATTTTATTTCTTTACTCAGTTAAATGAAAAGTTCTCACAGAAGGTCACCATTTACTGCATCGCATTTGACTGAGCTGCCTCAGTGACTGACTTGGGTGGTAATGCTTTTTTTTTTCTTTTTCTTTTTTTTTACACAAAACATCAACACAACAAACAACATTCAGCAATATACAACATAAAGGTGTAACAGAAGACAATATTAAACATGATACTGTAACTTAGCCGAAGCCGACAGAGGAATTTGCATGCTTGTAAGTAGACTGACCAGGAGAGGGATAATACGTAAGTGAAAACATGAGTGAATTGAATGAGTGAACAACATAATTGTGACAAAAAAAGTGTGGCTTATGTCAGTATTGTTTTGAAGGGCTGGTATCAGTTTTGTAACTGCACTGACATAACACAACCACTACTATGACTCATAATAATAATAATACTAAAACAGTTTTCCCCATTGATTTGATGCATCTCTGCCAAAAGTATTCTGATGCTGCAGTGCAGAAAATTAAACAGTTTTTTCTTGCTGTAATCATTCCTCCCGTTCATGCTGGCTGTTGAAATATCCCCTCCTAATGCGCTTTCAGTGGAAGTGATTGTTGTAATGTTTTGTTCTGAAGTGGATTCCAAAGTTTACCTGAATCTTTACATAGGAGAAAAACAAATCAGGACAGCAAAATAGATGTAATGGGTAGTTTTTTTTGAAGGCCTATCCATCTTAAACAATGTTCCAATTCATACAGCGGAGAAGTTTTTGGTCACTGTAGTCATTCCTCCTGTCCACACTGGCCTTGAAGCAACCCCCTCCCAGAGAGAATACACTGTGAGTAATGGAAGTCACCCTCCTCAGTCCTCCTTCTGTAAGGCCTTAACCAGCAGAATCAAACTTTCACACTTGGCCTTGAATAATCCCAAAACATGTAAACTCCTCTTCATGTCATGAAGTCCCTGAACTATTACAGAGGACCTAACATAAGGCTCGAAAGCCAGTAGGACAGACAGATTGATTACAGCCACCAATTCAATATACATACAGTATCGAATGTGAGTATAAAATAGTTAAGCAACATCACACGAGAGGGCGTGATGAGGGATGATACTGTCTTTGGTACGAGGCTGCGTGCTGATATTCAGTTCAACATCACGACCTTGAGTGTGATATGGCTTTTATACAACAGTTCTACGAGCGCCATATTAGTTAAATAAGAAACAACAGATTATGACCTGTTTGTTTATTTCATCATTTATTTGGCTATGCCAACAGAAATAGTTCTGCAACTGGACTGGTGTTGGACTGTTACTAAACAACACATAATTATTTTCCTGACCTGCACAGTGCACACTAGCTTGCTTTGTCTACATGTTACCTCAGGTGTGCGCTAAAGTATCCGGGCTTCTTCCCTTCATCCTCTTCTTACGACCACACATCATTTAATTCAAATGTTATTTCTGAAAATATTTTCATCTTTGCAAAGTTTGTTACCATCAAAGATAGATAACGACTGTTAATTTAATGCTGATTAACGGTTGATAGAACACCTGTGAAGCGGAGTGATACATGTAGTTAAAAGTCCCAGTGCTGTTATACTGTATATCAGCACTCATTGAATGACTGTCGTCCAATCAAATTACTTGCTCGGAACTAACTGTTGTATAATATTAAATACACTCTATGAGAAAGACTCTTAACTCAAAAAAAAAAAAAAAAAAAAAGTGGTTCATGTACATAAATGGCCAAGCAAAATATGAAAACAAGTTACATGTCTGAGTGGGGTGTGTGTGTGTGTGTGTGTGTGTGTGTGTGTGGACTCACGTGGTTTCTTGGTGGTGATGTTAAATGCAGGGCTGCAGGGTCCAAGTCCAGCGCTGTTTTGGGCTCTGACTGAGATCAGATAGACTGTGCTACCCTTTAAGCCAGACAGCAGAGCCGTGGAGTTGATAACCTTCACTCTGTCTGCTTGACTTTGCTGAGATCCTTCCTCCCAAAACAGAACCTAGATGTGAGAAAGAAGGATTACCACAGAGCTCCAGCCATATTTCCTTCCTTTGTGGAAACTGAGTCAAGTCAAACCTTATTTATTTTTTCAGTTTCCTACTGAGAGCATCTAAAAAGGGCTTATAAAAGAGCATCCTGTACAGCAAAGACAGCAGAACATGAAGTGTAAGGGTTATGGAGATACAGGTATCTAGTTTACTTTTAAAAGAAGCTCATTTCACTAACTTATAAGAAACTTGAGGTCATATAGGTTTAAGTCTTTTACATGAAAGCAGTGAATCTATAGGACAGAACTTAAAAGGCCTCCATACTATCAGCTCAGCCGCTGTAGGTCCTGAGGCAGTCAAACCCACATTTTTAAACTACCAAGTGATACTGTATCCGATGATCAGCAATACCGAAAGCAGCACTGCGAGTGAGGAGTACACGGATAAAGAGCTTGTCAGGATCTGTACTCACAGTGAGATCATTTATGACCCGAGATCACGAGACATAGAAAGCAGACAGGAAAATGTCAAACAGATGGTTTGAGAGTGGGTACTTATTCAATTGGCAGCACACGGGTTTGCAAGGATCTTGCTTGGGAAAAGGCAGATTAACGACAGGGCCTGGAGTTGCTGATAACAGATGCATCTAGGATTTTTTTTTTTTTTCAAAGGCAGTTTAATTATAGTAGTTTTACTGACACTTGGGAAAATACCTAAAATACCTTAGTAGAAGGCGTTTACAGTTTTTTCCAACCACCTTTAAGAATTTAAACACACACTCACAGGGAGATGAAAGAAGAGGATCTAAGGAGACTTAAACTGTCTTGCTGCATATTAAAGTCTTAGGGAGACAGTGGCAGGAAAGTGCATTATACCACCTATACAGTATTTTAGAAACACCAGTACTTGTGGGTGAGAGGCACGAACTCACATAAGAATATAATTGACCTAAAATATACATGATTCAGTTCTCAAGTGGAGAAAAGTTGAGGAGAGAATGAGGATGAGTGATTTAGGCTGTAGTATCAATCGGTCTATGTTGTCAGTGAATAACCCTTTTTATTGACGCTTTATAGATGTACACTGAGTCAGTTATCAGTTTATTAGGTACACCTGGCTAAAACGAATGCAGTCTAATACGAAAGTCCTACTGATATTCAAAGCAGCTGCGCTCCAGGTGCTGGGGAGGTGCGTTCCACAAGGGAGAGCCACTTCAATAACGTTTCAACCATTACTGTGAGTCGAAGCAAGTCTCTGTCTGAGATGAGGCTGGATTACCAACGAGGCAAAGTGGGCAACTGCCCCGAGGCCACAGCTCCCCCAGGGGCTTTCCTGTGTTGTCAATTAATTTTTAGCTTTATTTAGGAATATGAACTAAAATAGTTAAGTTGTGGTGAATCATATTATGACAATCAAGTGTGGCACAGACGTCCTGGGGCTAAGTAGTGTTATATCACCATATATCAGGCCCCTGGCTTGAAGGTTTTCTTCTAATAACATTAATGATAGCCTTGGTCTATTCAAGTGTTCCAGTAAGTCATGACAGCGTGACAGTGAGTCAACGTGCACAATACCAGGACCAGCAGCTAAACTGAATTCAGCCGTCATTGATTTTTTATCATTTACTGTGCTCTTTTGTCAAAATGTCTTCAACAAGGTCCCAGCAGCAAACACGGTCAAGACTTGATGTATATTTCTTTTTCAGTCTTTCAGTCTGTTAAAACCCGACGCCGTGTCTAAGTGCTCCTGCTGCTTTCGCTCATTACAGGTGAAGCAGTGCTATGAGACAAACGCATGATGTGTGAGATAAATTGAAGGGTGTGGTGATGACTGATGATCCTCTCAGTTAGTCACATTACTCCTTTCGAGCCTTTCAAACAGCTTTTGCAATCAAAGCGGCCTGTGACGAAAATGCCGCCGAGGAGAGACACATCCTTCAGGACGAGACTACGCGGCAGCCAAAAGGTGGACGGTGTGATTTCTTTGAAATATTTAAGTTTAAAGTTATCCGCATCTGCTATTGGTATGGATTATATGTGTTTTTACAAAGGGACATGTAGACATACTGCTCCTCATCTAATTGTCTTCAACAGCAGATTCAAGGCTGACTTGCATGTGTAGTTGTTATCCTGTAACACGTGAAACTGACGGGCGCTTCTCTTGAAATCAAAGGCCTAAATGGTATTCCTTGGCCACCATGCATGAAGGGCCCTCTGGGGCTGATCTACCCTGCTGGGACGGATTGGTAGAGCTTTCCAGGCTCTCCTCTTCACAGCTGGCTGCTCAGCCTCTGGGGATGAGCATGGAAGACATTTCAGCAGTGCAGATTGCAGTATTGTTTCTACTTATCAACCCGATTCTTCATTTATTCTTTTATTGATCTACGTTAATGGAAAAATACTACATTTTCTGACATATAGTGATAGCTTAATTGTTGTGCTGCAACTTTTTTACTGAATAGAATACAGAACATATCCTGAAAAACAATCAAAAGAACAAATAACAAACAAGGTACAAACATCCGTCTGATAAAAGCTCCCACACAATACAGCATCTCTTCTATTCTCCAATGACACAAGTCTTGTACCTTATGTAAACATACTCAGAAAACATGCATCAGAATCAGCACATCAGAAGACTCCATAATGTCTCAGGAAACAATTTACAACCGGTCCTAAATAGGGGCTGATTCTTGATTCCCATCACTACAAGCCTCTGATAAAATGACTTTTGGCAAAGCTCTGTGCGCTGGCAGAGTGTATGGATGGGACATTATGAATGCTCTCCAGTTTCTCTTTCTCCCTCCCTCTTTGGCTGTAGTGCAAGACTCACTATGGAAGGCTCTGAGTATCCTCCTCAGGGAGAGTCAGGAGCAGCTACAGAATGAGGTTATTTCTGGAGTTCCTCCAGAGGACAACAGGTACAAAGGTTTGTATTCTACAGGAGCTATTTTCTGGGACGAAAGCAATATCAAATAAGCCACTCTGTTACTTGTTTGAATTGTACAGAGACAGTTCTACGTGTTCACTGTGAAGAGCTACTGGAACCTGTCCAGTCCGGGCACAATTGCTTTCACATCTCTCTGATACGATTGCAGTGGGAGGCGAGAAGATACAACATTAAAGCAGCTGCAGTCATCTTCTAACTAGATGTCCTCCTTCTAATAGCCGAGCCAAGGGAGTGTTAGCATTTACAATCATCTAGAAGAAAAGGAGTCCCGATACCCTACAGGTGTGGAACTGTACAGTTTGTCTAAACAGGCTGTGTGGGGAAAGATGCACATTGGCAGAACAGCTTTGGTCTAACTAAGTCCGAGCAACCACTAGTCAATGGGCCGCCCTAGACCGGCTTTCAGAATCTGCACATGGGCAGCGCCAACATGCCGTCTCATTGGCCCACTGGAGTACCCTGGGGTACTCTAGGCAATGTCCACCTTTGATGACCTGTTCATATCAACAGTGTGGGGTTACAACAAAATCAACTTTGTTGTGCAAATCTCAGCAAGTGAGATGATGACATACAGTATGTACTGTGATTGGCCAGTAAACTCGGTCGCAGTGTTGTCGACTGTCCCTTCACTTCTCTGTTAGGGCTGAAGGTTCTACTGACAACCACGAGGAGCAGCAGACTAAGAAACCGAACTAACGATGTGTTCTGTCCGTCTGATCTCCTCCGCACCTGCACACAAACAGCGCTCCACACGCTTCAGGTGTCACTGAGCGACCTGAGTGGGTGAGGTCTAGCTCTCTCTCGCTGCTGCAACACACATCTACAAACCAGCCAATCAGAATGCGACACGAAATGACGCAGAATACAGCTGCCAATTTTGAAAGTGCCACACTTTTCTCTATCCCCATCCGGGTCCACACTCTCCTCCTCCTCCTCCTCCTCCTCCTCCTCCTCCTCCTCTCTATTTGATACTAGAGGTGTCAGTACCGTGCCAAGAGCTTGTTTATTGTTCTGCTGCATTCTTAAAAAAAAAATCTATTTACATTGTAGTTCTATGATTCACCAGACAGTCATTGCACAGTGTGATATGCTTCAAATTGATACTGTAAAGTCTGACAGAGGTTCTGAACCAGGATTTCATTAGACCCATCTCACACAGCATGACATATAGTCAACTTACACGACGAGTGTTTTTGCTCAGTCCAAAGGCGCTTTAACTTGACACTGAGTGGTAGGAAGAGGAATGAATCTGTGCATTATCTGAGGAGCTGTAGGAGCAAAAGAGAGATTTATTACTGTTGAAACTGTTGGTTGTGACAGGCCTGAATCATCAGTGTTCTCTCTATTGCATAAAAATATTTGATGCCATCTCAAGGTAGCTCCTTAGTTGAGAAATCATGAGTCTGAGAATTTGTGGCCAGTTATGAATAATTGCCCACTGTAAAACACTTGACAAAAACAGTCCTTGGTTTAGACCGGTGCTTCCCAACCTCTTCTAACTCATGGCCCACTTGAAAATTGCAAAAATGTTGGCAGCCCACAACTGTCCCTTTTACAATATGGAGGCCAGATAATGCCTTCTCAGAGCACTTTTTATTTCAATGATAATGATCGAACATTCGGGATTGAACTGAAAGCAGGGGAAGCTCAACTTTTCTTTTTTGTTTTTGACGGGGGGAGAGATCACTTGTCGATTCACCATCTGTCTCCTGACTCTCTTTAGCTACGCTTTTTAATACTTCAGTTTTTACCATGGATGTAATCTTTTAGCGCACAATCAGACTGAGATAGAAAACAGTATATAGTGTGGTCCGGCGAGGGACAAAATAACAATTCCTATCATTGGCTTATCACAGTGACAGGCCTTAATATGAGAAAGAAAATAAGTTTTTAATAATTTTTAAAGATCATTTTGATATTTTTCTTTATTTTTCTTTATATAATTTTATGTTTTCACCAAAATCGTACTGTTATGCAAATGATTTGTTGGCCTACTTGAAATACCTTCACGGCCCACCAGTGGGCCCCAGCCCGCAGATTGGGAACCAATGGTTTAGAAAGTAGAAACTTCAAAACTATATATAAATAATGAGAAATTAAATATTTTTTCAACATCAAAAAGTTGTCAGAAATACATTTATATTGTTGATTAGCTGTATATCTTTATATCGGTACAAGCTGTAAATGTTTAGCATGAATGCTCTCAGCTCAGCTCCACTGCACAGCCGCTGTTCCCAAATGCATCACTGTGGTGCATCAAACCCCTACCTCATAACAATGTGTGGACCAAACACTGGCAATGACCTCAAAGCCTCAAACCTCAAAGCCTCTCAGCAGAGGTCAGGCCACCTGCGGACACCCCCCACCCCCCACCCCCCTATCTAGGTTTTCCACAGCCAAAACCCAGGAGAATATTTGCGGTAGAGGATAGTGATGTATGATGTTTACACTTTCTTTTTTTTTATTTATTATTCTTTAATAGCAGCTCTCAGACAGCCTTGGGTATTGAGTTCTTTTGGAGACTGCAACCGCTGCCAACAGACCTCTTCAACTCCTAGATTAGCCTGTGAAAAATCTGCCGCTCCAACACATACAGTATTTTAATGTCAGAATATTTCCATGTTGTCACCATTGGCGGTTACATTCAACTGAACGCCAGCTTATTATACTGTCAGTCATTCAGGGATTAATGTCTACTCCTTGTTTGAATATTCCTTGTGGCACTATTATTTCAACTTTTCTTTTTCATACCTCATATGCAATGATCTTCTCCTTGCTGGACCCGGGGGGAATTGGCTCCCAGTACACCTCGATGTCAGAGGCTGAAACGGCGCGGCCCCACACTCTTGACGGTGCCTCAGAAGGCTCTAAATAGGATACATCATGAATTATGCATATTTGCAATTAGGAGAGAAAGCATGCATTTTCTTGAATTAACACCATCAACTTTGCAGCATGTGGAGGTGAATAAACTCACCTTCCTCTGCAGAAAGCACTCTAACAACACGGCTGAACTGCCCCTCTCCCAGGCTGTTGTACACGCCCACTTTCACTTCAAACTGGGACAGGGGTGCGATGCTGTCATTTCTGTAAATATATCTGGATGCATCAGGTGATGCCAGCACTGTCTGGATCCAGGTGCTGCTGCCAAGTGGGCGGAAAGCCACGACATAGCCAAAGTCCTCTCCGCTCTGCTGTTCCTCCGGAACCGGCTGAGATAGGAACAGAAAAGTTACGCCTTTGACCCAAACAACTGTGAGCAGAAATTAAATTAGGGGAGGTGTAAAAAAAAAAGTAAAACAGAAATTGTGTGTCTGAGAAACTGTTGAGAAAATGCACCGATATAGCATCTTGCCGTGCTTTGAACCACATCCAAAAAATGTAAAACTGTCACCTAATTCTAGATTTGCACATATGAAATTTGCTCTCGCTCTGTATCTTGGTTTTGATTTACACAACAAGGGAAGTCAGCAGGCAGCAAATCAGAAAAGCTACGCTTCTAATTAAAAGCCGCTGCACTGAAGCCAGACCACTGCAGACACACTAACTCTGCCAGAACTCCATTCTCATCAGAAGATTCAAAGGATGCTCTGTTAAGATGAATGCCCACTCAAAAATACCCATGATCCTCTTACCTCCCAAATGATGACAAGTTCTCCTCGAGCTCCTCCGCCGCCACTCACATTAACGGGTGCAACCTTGGGAACTGAAGAGGCACAAAGGGAACTTAATCATCCCTCAGTTTTGGATTGTCATGTGTAAGGCAGTAGCAGAGGATTCTGTTAAACCACACAGCTTTGAATGAGGAGACCGCAGCTTCTAATTTACACAAAACAGGTTAATCACACAGTAGAGGAATTAGGCTTTTTTGTTGACAGTGGCATTACCACCCGTGCACGGTGCTGTTATTAGCCCAGCGCCGTATGTCAGCCCCATGTGTGAAGCACAATGGGAAACTTGTTCCCCTGTGATTCAACCAGCAGGATGGAATTACTCAGTCTACCAGCTCAAAATAGACACTTTTCATGTCGGTGCCTCATGACATGTGTGGATAGGTCACATTTTCTATTGATGTAACCATTAATTAATCATGGCACAAATTCCAGAGTGCGTGCGCACAAACGCGCGCGCGCGCGCACGCACACACACACACACACACACACACACACACACACACACACACACACACACACACACACACAGACACACACACAAACACACGCACATACCCACAAGCTTAGTGCTGAATGTTTCAAAGTGTAATTCAATTTCCCCTTATTTTGCATGTGACTCAGTAATCAAAGTATTGGCATGAAAAGGAACAACAGTTTTAAAAATGAGTAACATCACGGGTAGCACTGAAGGAAAGTGAAACTAATCAAACAGTTAAATTACATTTACTGATTAATTTGTTATAAGGAGAAACAACAAATCGAGAAGATACCTGCTGCTTTGGTTCGAATCTGTTTTGATGGCGTGCTGGGTTCTCCTACACCAACACTGTTGATTGCCACAACCCTGAATTCATAATCCACCCAGGGGTTCAAATCTTTCACTGTTGCATGCATCATCTGTCCAGGCACAGAATCAGGAACTAGGATTAAAGAATTTAGAATTGAGATGTGTTTTTTTTTTTTTTTTAACTGAGGCACATTTCACATTTTCTTTCCAGCACATATACAAAAAAAACATTTCACAAACCAGTGAAGTACATCAAACTGAAATGGTGACATTTGTAAATCTTTTAATACTATTCCAATTACAGTACACTCAAGGGTGACACCAGTCCAACAAATCTACATGTTGTGTAATTATTTCTTGATATCGCACAGCAACGCCTGCATCTCACAATGCAATTTTACACATAAATGCAGTTAATAAATACAATGAATAAGCTGTCAGACAAAGTCGCTCCAGTTAATCCCTCTCCCTGCAAAGTATTTTGCTTGATTAGTGCTTTGGTGATCATTTCCATGTGCGTTTAAAAGTTTCAGGGTAAAGGTGGCAGACTGATCCCTGATCAGATCGGGTATCTGAGTTTTTTGCCCCAATGCAACACGTCTTGCATATAACATGGTAGTTACAAGCTAGACAGTATCCAGAATGACTGAGCTTCTGTGCTTTTAACTTGTGCAGCAGATACACAGCAGAACTTTCACGTATGCTAATATTACTTTTACTTTTTTATGCTAATGTTACTTTAACCTGTGCTGCCCATGGATTTTTTGAGACAAGTAATTTCTTAATAGCTCGGAAGAGCTAATTTTGTCTGGGTTAGCGGTGTCATTGCTACTGGAATTCCACATGTCATGTTAGACACGTGGTAGAGCTACCAGACCTCTGTTGTGGTGTGTAGTAGTGATACATACATATTTACATCAAAGCAGTTTTAGTTACATTTTCGTATTATTATTTTGTAGTTCATTTATTTTCCTTGGTTGGTCATGGCAGGTCCACATTACCTCCAAACTACATGTAGCTGTTTGAATACGTCATACTTATGTCACCAACAGACTGGGACAGACACACTTTCTAGGGAAAGCAATGTAACAATGTTTTTTTTTTTTTTTTTTTTTTACCAATTTTTAAGAAAAACACACAGGGTATATTATGGATATATTGTCAACAGTCAACACTTGATATTACAGCCCACACCTAAATTACACTGTAAATTATGTGCTGTATTATAGAGTGTGCTGCTATCTAAACTTGTGAACTTTGGGTTTTATTCATAAGAATATCTATGGAATACATCTCAGAAAAAGAGCATAGTCTCCTAAATGACCATAGCCTCACAGATTACAGTGATATTCCTCAGTACTCACTAACACCAATTGAAAATAAAGTGTTTCATAGTGGTGCAGCTGTTACCTGTTCTCACAGTCTGCCAGCCTATAGAGAAGGGGGTCCTGGCCTGCACCATGTACATGGTAACAGGACTGTGGTTGTCAGTTCCAGAGCTCCAGGACAGTTGCATAGTGGTGTCAGTAATGTCAGTCACCACCAGGCCCTCCGGGGCACCGGGAGGTCCTGCAATACCCGGAAACAAGGACAGATGTCTACATCAGCATCACTGCACAACAGCCAAAACAAATGAAATCACCTCAGCTTAGCTTCTTGCATGGCAGAGTGAGACCCCCACCTGAGGTGTTAAGTGATTCATAACAAACCTAACGACTCCAGTTCAGGGCTGGTGAAGATATAATGGGCTCCTCTAGGAGTGCCTGTCTAATCAATACACTGAATAGTGTAGTTCAGTGGGAATTTAGACCATCAAATGTGTCAGCTTAAATTTGCGTGAGGTCAGATAGTTTCAGTTTAACTTTAGCTTGAAGTTTCCCCACCCCAGTATACAGTAAATCCCCTGGTCATGAAAACTGTTCAACAAAAAAAAAAAAAAAAAAAAATCACGGTCAGGTAAAACTGCTTCTCCCAGACAGAAAAAAGAAAATGTGGTCTTGATGGAGCCGAGTTGCCTAAACTAGCTAACAGAGAGGAGATCCTTCAGTGTTTAACATGAGACAACATTAGTAACCAGGGATTTGGAAAAACAAGGCTGAATTTTCAATGGTGATCTCATTGAAATTAGGGAAAGCGGCATAATGAGATCAAACAATCAGGCCGGGACTTGGATAACTGACATGAGATTTCCTGCTAAGCCCCACAAATCTGTAAAAGTAGCACTGAGCCCTCAGCGGGACTACCTGCTGCTGGAAGAAGATCACTGGGTATCAACCATGCTTGGTTTCAGATTACGCAAACAGAAACATACAATCTGTATGTGAAAGCTGCACCATCTGACTCCTGATGCCAGTACAACGGTATTACTGAGACTGTTCTCTTCCATTAGAGTTATGTGTTTCAATCATGGGTGATTGTGACCAACTGTGATTGGCTTTTGACGGATCACAGCCCTCTGATCTATAATCAATAACATTTTGACGGATAGCACATTGTACATTTATAAATGCTAATGACAGGTATGTTTGGACATCCCAGTTGTTCTTTCTTCAGTGACCCGGCATTTTAACACTGCTCTGTGAACATATAACATTAACATATTGCTACGAGTCTTTAAAATGACACCACGTAACTTTAAGCTTTGGATGTAGATATAAAGATCTCCAATCCCTAAATCCCCAGAAGAAAATAGAGGACATCAGTATCATGAGTGGTGGCTCGGAGTTGTTCTAATAAGAAAATGTCACTGTGTTTTTATTTGAAAATTCTCAATACCCTTTGACTACAAGAAAAAATTAAGGATTCACATTACTGATCAATGCCAAATTCAAATTTTATAGTGTATAATTTCAACAGGCTGTGCATTGTACTTAAGTGGGGAGTGACCGATTGCGTGCCCTGCTCTCAGTAAGCTAGGCTATTTGTTTCACTAATGCAAAATGGAGAAAACTGTGTTGAGGCAGATCTCGATACCAAATCACCTGAGAAGTAAAGTGTGAAAGAATTTTAAAATCAACACCACAGATGAAGAAGTTGTGGATAAAGTCAGGCGTTTGCTGACTAAGGTCAGCTTTCCATCCAAGTGAAGCTCAAATTTTAATGAAAATTTGCAGAAAAATGGCAAAAGAAATGAAAAATGCAAATTAATTATTAGATTAAATATTATATATTAGAAGTTTGTTAATTGAGATAAACAGCAGGTGGCACTAACTGTCCATTTGGGTGCCATTAAAATATCGTACGAGAGGGGGATGCAACAAGATGACGTAATTAAAAGAGCAAAATGTGGCATTTACAGTATGTTTGTTCCATGTGTTAATTTGAGGAAGGTCACCGTCTCCTCATCACTCCACACACATCTGATGTTTCTGCCTGCCTCAACTTTTGGTCTCTTCAGTGGAGCGGAAGCTTTAGTGTCAAATAAATCACTTCATAGATGTCAGGATTTATTCTCTAAGTCTCTTTCCATTGCACTTACACGATACACCAAGTCTTCTACCTCAGCCAAGAAATAAAAAAAATACTTTTTTGTGATTTTTTCTAATTTCTAGCATTTCCATCCAAGTTTCTTGCGAGCAAACTGAAAATGTGCATAAAAACAATTGGATAGAAACACACTTTACAGTAGGTAAAATGCAACTGGCTTACATTAGTTTGTCACCCACACCAGGGGGACTGAATGCCCTTATGCTAAAGTTAAAGAAGTAATATACAAACATACATATACATATCTACAAATTACTTAATTAACTAACTAATTTCAAGAGTGATGTTGCATATATATAACATTTATGGAATACCCAAAGTAAAACGTATATATGTTCATAAAAATAAATAATAACAAACTAAATAAAAAGGATGCTGCAGGTCCAAGATACTCCTAGAATTAAATGAATTCCTAAAACTTTAACCTCATATATGTCTCTCTTTAGTTTCAAAAAGTTCATGGTTGTCAGTCTGTAAGTCTATTAACGCAGTTTTCTGCAGTCTGTGAAAACCGACATTGTGGTGATACATCTCTATCTGAAAACCTCCACAGAGAGTGCTAGAAAATGACAAGCAGTGTAAGATAGGAGGAACAGGCATACCTCTGACAATTAGGTCTGCTGCTGCCGAAACAGTGTCGACTTCAGTGTGTACCATGCACACATACTTCCCAGAATGCTTCAGCTGAATGTTCCTCACCATCAGGTCACCTGCAAATCCCTAATGACAAAGACACACACATGCATAAGCCTCTTGGAGAGGAAGGAAGGAAAACAAAAAGTTGCAAAGTCAAAGGAAGAAGTACGGAAAATCCTCGGAAGACATCAAATTTCTGTCTCAGTCACATGCTGCAAATCCTATTGTAAGGAAGGATGCACAAAAATTACTTGTTTTGAAACTGTTTTTTCTTTGGATCAGTGCTTTGTTTACACTTTATCCTTACAGCTCAGATTAAAAGCTCTAGCAAGAATTGTCAGAATTGCGCTCTGCACTTTACTGCTGTGTATACACACACACACACACACACACACACACACACACACACACACACGCACACACACGCACACACACACACACACACAGATGATTTTCAAAAGTTTTCTTTCAGCAAAATATAGCGATTCAGAAATCAGTCCCTTTGTGTAAAAAGCAAAGGCAAGTTACACAGCTGTTGTGATTATACTCACTGTGCAAATGTCAGTGTTGTACAGCGACTTAGGTGGGCCTGGTGTGCTCAGCGAGAGGGAGCATGAATCTTGTAATCACAAAAATTTAGGCTCCTTTGTTCAGGGAGGAATTGATTGATTTACTCATACAGTGAGATTAACTCAGAGCAGGAGAAATGTCATCCATGTTTACAGGTTTCCCCCTCAGACCCAACACACAGTAACATCTCCTGGCATCTCTGAATTACACAGTGCAAACGATTTTCACACAGGGGCTTAAAGACAAAACCCACCTTAAAACAAGAGTTCCCCTTGTGCTTCTCATGTTCTCATTCAATCAGTTTGAGCTATACTTAAAGGAACAGTTTGGCATTTTGGGAAGAACACCACTCGCATATCTGTGTGTTACGGGGCTAGAGCCAAGAGGCAGTTAGCCTTGCTTAACATAAAGACTGGAGGCAAGTCAAAAATATGCACAAGCATATCTGTACCTCACTAAAGAAGTGAAAGACTAAAGACAAGATTAAAAAAATAGTTTGACATTTATATCTGTCCATTAAGCATAAGGCTACATCCAGTAGCAGGTTAGCTTAGCTTTGGATAAAAACTGGAAAAAGGGAACCAGCTGGCTCATCCCCATCTAACTAATTAACACATCATATTTTGTTTTTTAAATCTGTACAGAAACTAAAGCATTAAATGATAAATTGACATTTTACTAAGCTGCTACCTGTAGCCTTGTATTGAACAGACAGACATGAGGTAGTTAGTAAGCTTAAACCACAAACTGTCATTTTTACATCACTTTTGTTCTGACTCAAACCAATTTAGCGAGCTTAATGAATTAATGACAGCTGCAGGTGTTTGGAGGTATAGGTTATTTTTAAGCTCCATGGAAAGCCGGCTAACCTCATGGCTCCAGCTCCATATTTAAAGTTTTCTCTGCCTCCGAACACGGTTTCTTGCCGGGAGCGGGTGGTGGTGGTTGTAACTTGACATCGTTGTCTTTATAATACAAAAGGTTATAATACACCCTCTGAGCTATGTCTTCAGGGCAGACAGTCGCTATCGGAAAGTGACGAGACAGGCCGGGGCTAGCTGGTTAGCCTGCTAACTTCAGTAGGAGAAAAGAGGGTTGTTTTCCACCACTGGAGACAGCTGTTGGTGGGTAAAGGAATGAAGTTTGACGCTGAACGCGCAAGATTCCGCTGAATAACTGCACTGGGTCTCCTGGTATAACAAAGCCTGTTACCATCCAATACAATATTTTGAATCCATGATTTTTATGAAGAATTAGGTGGTTGAGAGGCATTCAGGGAAATTCAATGCACAATGAAATCATCTCCCGGCTCTATCAAAGACTATCATAGGCATTAACTGGCAGAAAAGCACAGCTCTCAGGAGCTTCAATATCAGCTGTAGCTTTTAAAAACAATGTAGGGCAAATCCTTGGCACTGATTTTTAATTTTTTTTTTTCTAATATCACGAAGCACAAGTGCTCATCCACATTACACATACCCCTCCAATCATTTCAAAGTGCTCCTGCCTGCTGAAATCAATGGCTTTGCCGTTGAAAAACCACTTGAAGATGGGGCTCAGAGACGAATCACTGGACACTTCACATGGCAACACAAGGCTCTGTCCCACGGTGGCGTCCAAACTCAAGGGTGGAACTATGATCCTGGTGGGTTCTACAGCATTACAGGGAAGGGGAAAAAGGAGGATCATTTGTTACTGTATGTAGCACTGTATTTCAATAAAATCCAGCCAAATGAAGAAGGTAATAAAGCTTAATTTGCCCAGAATCATGAAATAGACCAGTGTAATTAAGTGACCTTAAATAACTTCACTTAGGCAGCGAATGCCTCCCATAACTCAGTAATGAATAATTAAACATACTGCAATCACAATGTCAACTAGAAAGAAAAAAAGGGCTCTCCCTCTCTCGCTATAATCATAATTATTTAAAAACCCAAATCTGAAAATGCTACGGTAGCTCTTTTTAAATTAAATGTTGGTGAGAAAATATTCTTCACTCACGGCCATAGACGGTGGTGGTTTGTCCCACTCTGCTACATGAACAATAACTCACAGCTGACAAAACCATGGATGACTTATACGTCTGTCAAACCGCCGGGAACATAAAACGGCTATATATTTCATTATCAATTTCATGCTTGAGCTGGTATTTTTTTCCTTTAACAAAAGTTTAAACCCTTGGCTTAGAAGGTACAGTCGTGGAGAAAGAGAAATACCTTTCACCACCAGCGTCCCTGTGCTGCTGGATGTTCCAAAATGGTTTCTGGCCACACATGTGTATCTGCCTCCATCAGATTTGGAGATGTTGGTGATACGCAGAGTCCCATCTGCCATGATAGTCTGTCTGAGGAGAAGGACAAAACTGAAACAGCGCATCTCTCATTTCCTTATCAATTCTTTAGTTGTTAATTGAATGAAAAGTGACGATAAGAATCAATGAAATATTTCTTGGCTGAGATATGGTCTCATTTCTCAAGCCATTTGAACTTTTTTCCCACCATTTATTTCATTTTGAATGAAGGCTCCAGAATCTATTCCAAAAGTCTGTTTAGTACGCCTCAGAAGATAACAATTATCTTAGCTGAGGCAGAAAAGATTTGCTGTAGGCTCAGCATAATATTGACAGCACAATAGCTTAAATGCATATATTAATTGGATACAAAACAGGCCACCAGGGCTGGGCAGTACGGCGAGAGTAAGAGGAGAGGAGCACGACAGAGAGGCAATTTGAATGGGATCTTTACCTGCAGCCTTATCGCTCCACAACATGTGGAGATAGTATCAACACACTATAAGCCGTTTCTGAGAAGCAATAAGATGGAGATATGCATATAGAAGCATCTAGCCTGACAAAATGTCAAGCTGGTCTTACGGGAGAAATAAACTGGCCGTGTGATGAGAGTTCTCGAAAGAAACGTGACTAAAGCAACAGTAACACACAGGAATGTTGACCTTGTTGTTGCACTGGTGTAACAGCTTGTGACTTACTTTCATGAACTGCAATTACATGATTATCAATTATTATCAATTATCAATTGTGCTTTCTATAATAATGATAAAATAACAAAACTACAACTACCGCCCTGCGGTTATATGACTCTGCCACTCAGAAGCCTGAATCAACCATTTCAATTTTACTTGAAATACATTTTTAGTTTTAATACTTTCTGAAACACTGAGTAGTCCTTTCCTTTCAGCCTGCATGTTGTCACAATAAATGCCAACAATAAGGTAAGGCAGCCCGTGTGAGAAAGCATCATTGTTCCTGAGCACACTTTACAATTCAGATAAGTGCGTCAACATCTTTATCAACCCAGCTCGCAGGGAGTTAGTTGGAAGATCAACAAGAAAAATGAGGGCGAGAAAAATCTGATAGTAAAAATTGAGAAGCTCAGGTCCCCCCACATCTCCGGTGGAAATGATGCCCTTATTTATCAAACTTCACATTTTAGCCTGGAATAGTTCTCTCAGCACTGTAGTTGCGGACAGGCAAGTTGGAAAGCGTGTAAACATATGCATAAACGAGGAAGATAATGCTCTCCTGTTGTGACCTTTGGATTCAGCAAATCAAACAGAAATACTGTGAGCAGCCAGCTCAAAAATCAAACAATTTCATATTGGCTCCCAAGAATAAATATGTATTCACTTGGGCTGAGCTGAGACCCAGAGAGCATGTCAGACACAGGGTGCTTTACGCTGATTTATTGACAAAAATATCAAGCGCTGAGGGATGGAGGCGCACTGAGAACATGACCTGAGGGGCAATGAGCTGCAAAACAAATAGAAACGTGAAGAACTATCTGCTTTGTAGACAAGCTCCGTTCCATGCTGCGAATTTCTATTCTTGTCCGAATGTGCAGCCTGGGTAATGCCTAGGTAATTTTTCTCCCTTTCCTCATGACCAGCCCATGGAAAATATGATAACCAATCAATCCCACCGGTCACATGTTGAGGCAGCTCCAGTGAGTTACAGAAAGTCTATGGAAAGCTGGATGTACATATTGATCCGAGGCTGAGCCCAAAAGAAAATGAGAAAGGAAAAAAAAAAACAAACAGCAAGAGCAGATACGCACTTTACACTTCATCTGACACATAACCAGCATGCAACTTAAAACTGCAAAATTAGAGTCAGCATATGTCATAGTGTTGTGTAAGTGCGAAAAGGGTATTTTGGTCAGATTGTCATGAATCATCTTAGCATCTGCAGTTTAGCCTTTGATGAATAAAGATAATTCGAAAGTCAAACCACTGTAATGTACATTTAGTTGAAAATCAGTTGCTGGTAATTTCCAAAGAGAATGAACAGCTCATGATACAGGAGCTTTTTTAGTTTAGTTTTTCCATAATCAGCAGAGTGAGATTCTTTATTTGAATCCATCTTCAGTCACAAATTCAATTTCTTACATTATACATGTTTGTGATCGTTCGCTCATATATTGGCACTGAAATAAATGAGCGTGAGCTGTATTAACCAAAAAAGGTTATTATTCAAAACTCTGCTCAAGTCTCCACCTGGCAAACTTATGTGAGCTACTACTGTTCATCTTCCTGCATTCACATAAGGGGCTCGTATTAATGAATTCCCAGCAAAACTTTCAGATTCATCATAAGCATTTGTACTGAAGAAAAGAAACCGGATGAAATATCAAGTGCCCTTGATACAGCTATTACAGCAGGAATTTTACCATTTGTAACTTTTTCTTGTGAAGCAAATTTCAGGAATTCAGAAGAAACTTTCTTCAATAGACTCCAACACTCAACTCAATTTTCCTGACAGTAGATTGAGGAAAAATCAGTTCAGAAAGTTCAGTTACCACAGGACTAACTGTGTTCACCAGATTGATGCTGCACTTGGGTAAAAACCTAGTATTTTACCAATATGAACTTTGCAGGAACTGAGAGGCTTTTTGAAGTTTTATGAGAATGTACTTTTAGGTCGATGGGTTAAGCCCGAGAGGTGTGTGAAGAAGGACTCAGGTGGGTGGATCAAGTGGCCGTCCTATGAGAGAAAAGTTAGTAAGATCCCCAGAGTTATTAAACGGGATGCTGAATCCCAGTTCTACCACTGTAATACACCACATTTACAACATGCTGAATGGCTCAGGGCAATGATTATTCTTTAAAGGCTCTGTAAATGAGATTTTAAACATTAATATAGCAGCAAACAACTATTTTCTATGTAAAGATTTAGTGGAGCAATGGTGTCCTGACGGGGAATAAAGGCACACCTCCTCTGTTTATAATCAGAGCTTCAGTGTTCTTTGTTTTGGTGGCTGGTCCGGCAGCGCGTGCATGTTAGTGCCTGTGCATGTTGGTGCATAAGAGTCCCCCTCTGTTAAACCGTTGGTCCTCCCCACATTTACAAGCACACAGGTACCACCCACACACCAGATGGCACAGTGCAGTACGCAGCGTTCAGGTAAAAGCGACCTTCCAGAATTTCCTCCACTGAAGAAACCATGTTTTCATCTAAAGAGGCCTCAGACAAAGAAAGAGATGAGACCAGATCATAGGTGGACTGAGCATGAGGACTACAGGCTCCAATCCTGGTCAGCTGTGGGACTGTCAAAAAAACCAATAAAGTTTTTACCGCTCTCTCAGTATCATTCGTGTGGCCGGTCCAAGCGCATGAGTCCAACCGACCGTGGACAAGAGGCAATACTGGTCTGGCTCCACCAAGATGGAGAGCCCTATGAGCTGCTAACGGCCTCCAACTTGACTTGCAACTTGCTTCCTCTCCTGAATTTGTTGAGCAAATGCTGCTAACGCTAGCTGGCCTGATAACAGCATTGCCGCAGAGCATATCTCAGCAATGCTACCATGAGGCTAATTGTTGTGACTGGGCTTCATAACAACTTGCTGAGAACTGAGACAATGAAAGATGTGTGGCCAACAAAGCATTTGAGATGATGGTGGTCTAGTGCGACAGCTAGTGGCAGTGACTATCGTTTACAGAACCTTTGATCAGAGCAACTGTAAAATAGAAAGTTTTCTATTTCTGGACCTTTTTAATTTGAAATCAGCATATCTGATGTGAATATGAACTTTATAAATAAAGATGTTCAAAGCAGAAGCAATTGAGGAGGCAAACATTAAGTATCATGACATGTAAATATCTTTTTAATTCTGATATATGAAATTTATAGAATAGAAAATAAACTAAGAAACTGCTTAGTATAAACATTAATTTACATGTATAATATTAAAAATTACTTTGGCAAAACTGTAATTTGGCAGTTAATTAAATGCCAATCTTGTTTTACTAAATCTGTATGGTCTAAAAACTAAGAGCCCACTATACTTGTGGGATCTAACAGCTATGTGGGGACCAAAATGATGCATCCCAAAAATTGAAATGGCTGTTTGAGGTTTAAGACTTGGTTTTAGGATTAGAGTATTAGGATTAGGTTAAAGAATTAGCTTTAGGTTAATGTGAGTGTGAGGCATTCAGTTATGGTGGTTAAGGTTTGGGTAAGGGGCTAGGGAAGGGTGTGTGTGTGTGTGTGTGTGTGTGTGTGTGTGTGTGTGTGTGTGTGTGTGTCTTTAAGATAGTTTCAACTTTAATAAAAGAAGGAAACTTCTGACTCCTCTGCTCTTTGACTAAATGTTGACTTTTCACTGTTCACTTTACATTACATTTATTTGCTAATGCACATTATTATGCTTTCAGTTGTTGGAGCTATTTTAATATCTTGCTGTAAAAATTCCCTGTATTTTTACAGCATGTTTGCAGCTATGGTTTTGCTTTATACATGGTGGACAAAATGTTTTCACTCAGCAAACACAGGAGACACAAAAAAAAAAAAAAAAAACGCAAAACAAAACTTGCTGTTAAAATCAGTATTGGAGAAAGAAAATTATACAGGTCCAAGTTTGAGAAGCAAAACTGCTCTTCAGACAGAAAGACATAAAGAGACTACTTTTCTTCTTGCCCTCTTTATATTGCAACTCTCACCAGTGAGATGCTGTTGTAAGTCACTAAAGTCGGTGCCTGAATGGCACGAGGAGTAAATTGGCTCTCAGAAGATTGATGCTATTAAGTTAATTATAGGGTTTGAGACTGACAAAGCTTTTTGATGGTGTTTTACATAAAAGACATGCTTTCATTTGTATGTCTCATAATGTGCAGGTATATTAAACATCGGCTTTATGGGGGGAAACACCAAGATTGCCAATATTGTCCTTCCTTCCTCTGAGAAATAACCTAAACGCTCCAATATTGTGCCATTACGCTAGCATAGTGATTTCATCTCTAGGAGATTTGGAGTCTGGAGCAAGAGTGGGAGAGTAAGACTTGTTTCCGTCAGCACCGCAGGTGGATTCACACTCGAAAGCAGTATTGACTGATTTGTGATGACTCCTAAACTGAAGCTTTCTGATAACTATTTGAGACTTTTTGGAACTTCCTTGCCGTTTTTAGCAGCTCAGCCCTTGTTTTTCTGAACCTACTTGAACACTTACCTGCCCTTCTTTTCCACAAAACAACTAATGAAAGGAGATGTCATACTGTGTTTCAACTCTGCTGGTTGTTTTTGTGTGCATTAGTCTCTGCGAAGGCCGAGTGCAACAACAAACTGTGTCTTTCAGTTCGTAGATTTTGCCGCAGACCTTAAATCATGCAATGGTGCGGTCTGTCATGTAGCCCGAGGTAGAGTTTCAGTGAAGGATGTAGTCAGATTGTTTTTCTCTGTGGTTTTTGCACAAGCGATGACCCTACAGGATGTCTGTTCTACATTCAGCTCTTTGACTGCATTGAAGAGCTGTGCAACTGTGGGACACTGGATGCTTTGAAGTTTCAAACAGCTAAATCACATTGTGCTGTAGATATAAAACTGATAGACTCAGGATCATGGCCTCGGTCTTACATCCATTAAAAAGGCATCAGTCAAAGCCTCTGTGTGTCAGCAGAAAACCAATATCTGTATCTATGTGAAGAATAAAGTGTCTCTCTGAAAACAAAACTTTTTTTGGACCAAACAAGGCTGTTTTATGCAACCTTGACTTCCAAAATATGGAGGACTGAAACTGCCAAAATCAATACAGTCACTGAGCAGTGAGCAGATGAAAGTCTGTGCTGGGCACAAACACATTGGAACCCGTGATGAGCAACTTAATCAGCCTGTCTATTGAATTGACCTGACATTAGTAGATATGTTTTCTTGCTGCATGTAAACAAATCTCACAGCAGGTTATAATAAAAACAGCTGAACGCCACACAGCAGCAATGTATCATCAAATCAGTATTTCCAGATTTTTATATTAACATTAGTAATTTAACACTAGTTTTTATTATGCAAATAACTTTTTTTAAATAAAAACTACAAGTCTCTCAGTCCATGACTTTTCCTAAATATATGTTTTTGATGTTTTCTGAAGCCTAGAAGGTGTTAAAAAAAACCTGCAATATTTCTGAGCATTTATTCCTCTGACCGCCAAAGCGGTCATATAGAGCGCTGTACCACCTGTGGTCATAGTAATTATTACAATGGATCTATTTCATGGTATTCGCGAGTCTATTTTTTTCCACTTACTGTTTTCATTAGGCCTATATTTTTATATGCGGATCTGGTGAGAGAGCAGGAGTCACTTTCTCAGGACCTTCGCGAGGGGGAAGCTTATGGTTTAGTGATGAGGAAAGTCACTGTCGGCTGGCACATCTGTCAGCATGTCCACTCATGACGCAGCCACTTCACAAACTTTATTTTGTGAGTACAAACTAGACCTTGATTTTGTAAATAGTCGGCTTGTAGGCTATAAACAGTAAGCAACATTTAAAATCACCCTCATTTATAATGAATAAAGAATCATAATGCAGCCTAATAAATCTCAACTGTCCAGTGCAGTACACACGCCACACCGGTGTCTGTGAGAGCTTGTAGGCTCGGTCAGATCCAGGTAGAACGAGTGTAAAACAAACTCTGGCTGCTGATGATAAACAATGACAAAAAATAACAATCCAATAAACCTCAGCGAGAACAGCGACAGCAGCTCTGACCTGACAGTGAAACACCGTCTCCAGATGCAGGTGTGTGTCATAGGTGCATCAGGCGGTGCTGCACGATCACTATTAGTCAATCATTCTCTAATGTAACTTGGAACCACAGCCCCCTCATTTCTATTATGAAGCACAGATGTAAAAAGACAAATAATAAAGAAATAAGTTTAGGGGAAATGCAATAAGGGGAAATAATAAATAGATAGATAAATAAATAAAAAATAACGGTAAATACGGTACAGCAACAATGGGCAACTTAAAACAGAAATATCAGTTTATGTCACAATGCGTTACTTTATTAATGCCTGCATTTATTAATTTTGGTGCATTTAATGGCATATCATTTATTTTTGGAGTTATTTATTTATCTATGTTTGATCTTGGCAGTTTCAGTCCTCCATACAAAAATCCCCTTGGGCTGAAGCATAAATAACAATGAGTCCTAGAAATGAACATGGCCACAAGAATAAACCCTTTAACAGATGCCATCAGTGGCAGGAGCAGTGGTGCATACAGTACAATACCCTACCTCTTGCTGTCCTTCAGCGGTTCGCCCGCTCTCCACCAGGAGATTGTGGCCCTGGGGGAAGCGTGGGGGCGACACTCTAAGACCACCTCGCCCCCCCTCTGGATCACCGTGGACTTCTTCACGGGGCGCCGGGTGAAGTCAGGTGGGGAGGCTGAGGAACAGACCCATGTTATTCTGGCGTTGAGGAGGGGCAACAGCTGTGCATCAGCCAAAATGTCAAGTGCATCACCAGCACTTACGGAAATTATATTTCAACACCAGACTGGAAATGAAATGGAATTATGGAAATGAAAGAGCCAGGCTGTGTCTCAGTGAGGAGCCATTTCAGCCTGTTTTTATTCATTTGTTTACTTTCAGATGTGAGGCACTAACAACACAAAGTACATAGGGTGCATCTCTACCTTGCCTCTGCATCAGCTCATTGTAAATGATACAGGACAAACAAAGTGCTTACCTACAACTTTGAGCTCAGAGCTGGCATAGACGGCTCCATGTTCATTCTCCGCCACACACTGATACATCCCGGAGTCCAACAGACTAATCCTGGATATGGTCAGTCTACCAGCTTCCACATGGATCCTCCCCTGCAAATCAGGCCATTTGATTAATGATGGAAAACATTTTACCGTTTTTTTTCTTTGTTTTATGTTAACTGTATTTTGAATTATCATTATTATTATTGGTAGGAGTAGTTTTTATTGTCTGATGTGCATTTCATGTATATAAAATCACAATGAATGTCTATAACATTTTCATAAAAATCTAATCTTAGTTTTAGTGTTGGTGGTGTCTTACCTCTGCTGTTAGTGGCTGACCATTCTTCAGCCATCTGTATGCAGGGCTCGGCTTACCGATGGCTTTACATTCCCACTGCAGATTGGCATCTATTGCCATATGAGCATCTTTCAGTGTTTGGACCCAATGCAGATGCTCAACATCTGTAGGGAAGAGAAATGAATATGAATAATTATTGACAAAAATGTCAAAATTCTACAGGAGATGTGCTGTATTTACTCTAACCAATATCAAAATCTTAGAATGAGTCATTTAAACATTTAATTCCAAAGAACTGAGGAGAGCTACAACTTTTTTCTGACAATATACATTATGTAGCTGAAATATGGTTTGTATTAGCAGATAAATCCCATCAGCTTTTTTCAAACTTGGAACATGTTCTTGTCTGGTTTTGACAGCTGGACTGGTTTTGCAGTCTTCGGGTCAGATTTACATACATGAGAGGCCATGGCAAATTTGCACTACTTGTTTCATTCAATTTGCATTCACAGCCTGCGTGTAATTAGCTCCTGAATTACTAGGGCAGCAGCTCATTACACAGTTAGTGCCTGGGACTGACCTCAAGGTGCATTGTGCAGTAGGCATAGTTCACTGGGATTTGAGATAACCAAGTTCAGAAAAGAAATGAAATTTTCTCATTAAATTACAATATAGCCTGACCCTTGGGCCTCTTTGTGTTATTAAAGCAACTGGGGTCAATAAACTAAAAGACAAAAGAAAATGTATCTCAAAGAAATAACTGTTAATAACAGTTTTGCAATCAGAGGGGAGAGAGCTGAGCGAGAAGAGGGTGGATAGGGGATGATGATGATGTCTCACTACAATACTGAGGTAAAAGCAAAAGACTGTTCTTCCTACAGGGATTTCACAGTTCACTGTTTGTCAAGTTCAATGAGCTCAATTAGTTCATGAATCCTTGTCCCCTCCTTATTCTGTGTTCCAAAATATATTAAGATATTGTTCATTAATTCCTATCACGTTAAGAAGCTATTTTAGTTATATAGCTTTTATTAATTAGTTTATTTTTGGCTAACTAATTCTTCTGAGCTTTCCACATGTTTTTGTGGGTTGTCTGTCCCACCACGACCTCATTTTTCAATAAAACCGTGTTTACTTCAGTTTATTACCTCTCAGGAGTGCAGAATTTTCCATGTAAAACCTGAATGCACAATCAATCACAACTCGCCCAGCTCGTTGCTCTCCTGATCTTAAAATGCACAGACCACACTTTAAGAGGTGAAGTGCACTTTACAGGTGACAAACAGAGAGTGCCTCACGTAGCCAGCAAACTGACCTTTTAGGCTGATGTGGCTTTGCACAAACTGCCTCTACACTAGTTCAGCAGCAGGACAATAGTACAGTTTTTTTTTGTCACAAAAAGCATCAACTAAAAAGGAACTAAATTAAGTGAAGTGGGGCACGAACAGAAACAGGTAGTACTTTAAAAGCATGACACCTGATGTCATAAGGAAAACTAAGAATGAACCTTGAGAACACAGTTCTGAATAAATTATACAGACTTTACTATTATCTATGTCATACTGTTATATCTAGGTTTAAGTCAAGCTACAACAAGCTTTGGCAATACTGCTACATTTACGTATTCATTTTGTACATGCTTGCATTAGGCAAAATTATGCAAAACTATATAAAAAAAACTTTTTGCAGATGATTTTGAAATTTTCCTTCACCACCAAGCCATTACAGTCCCATAGGTTCACTTCACAAGGGCAATGAACAAACTAATCACTGTGTGTGCTTGAAGCTGTATCAGCTAAACTCAGTTCTCCTCTGCCTTAGAAAGCCCCAAAAAACTAAATTCTCATAACGAGACAAACTTGTTGTAAATTGTTCATTTCAGCACGTTTAAGCGATTTGACCATTAGAATAAGTGACGCTCCCTAAACTGGCCCTGTAAGGCTGCCTGTCATGCTCTGTTTGATTTACAAAAATGTTACCAAGCAGTAAAAAGTACAATTTCACACTGTGCCTGTCAGTAACCAGCTGACAAAAAAAGATTTTAGCAGAGTGGATGCCACAGGTGTTCTTGAATCACTTGTACGTGCCTCCTCTGTTCTTCTGTGCCAATTTGTTTGTACAACTGAGGCCTAATGTCTTGGTATAATCACATACACAAAATTAAATCTAAAATGGGCAGAGTGATATCTGCTATTAAAAGTGTCACTCATGTCTGTCTCCAACTGCACCTGATGTCTCATCTCTTAACCTTCCTCTGGGGAATGCGTGTTCTAGATAAAAAAAAAAAAAAGTATATTTTCTCAAGAATAACTTTTGCTACAAATTCGCACAATATTACAAAATTAGACAATGGATAATGTAGCTGTTGCAACAACCCTGAACTTACCCAGAATTGTTTTGTACAGAGCAGCCATGGAATAATTTACTATTGTTTTTCAGAATAGCTGAACGATTCCTAATGAGTCAGAGCTTCGTTTGAGGCTATTCTGACTGATACATGGAATATTAAACAGTAATCTATGGCAAGAATTTACAATAGTGGGGAAGTGAGTTGTCTTAAATTGTGTTTGTAGAATGAGTAGTTGGACATTTAACTGCTGATTATATTACAAACTAGTGCTACACCTTGTTTTAAATGATTTGATAACCTGATTTATATGTAAGTACTTGTTAATATCAATGCATCTATCTAAATATCTTGCATTTATGTCTGATTAACATAATCAGATTCATTTTTTGTATGTTTTTTTTCCTTGGACCACAGGATAAGTAGCTGTCAGACAACTTGAACAAAGTGCAACTGCTGAGTCCCAAGTTTCAATCACTGATGCTTGTCATTAGCTCTCTCAGTAGCTCAGGACCAAAACATCTCTCTAATTTTCTTTTTACAAATGAACCCTCTCTGCCTCTCAAGGAGTGGTATGTTAACAGAGTCCAAATCAAATGTGGAGAAGCAGCGTTTTGTTTCTTTGCACCACCAAAGTGGAACAAACTTGCAGAGGTTACGGGACTTAACATGATGTGACGACCTTTAAACAGTTTATGCTCTCCCCTTATTTCACACAGCACTTTATATTTCTTTCTGCTTTTAATTTCTTTAAAAACAATTTCTCTCTATTGAAATGCATTCCCTTTGAATGTATTATGTAAAGCACCTTGAATTTCCTTTTTGTATGAGATGTGCTACACAGACAAAATTGCCTTGCTACAGCTTTATGTCAACAACCACTTACAGCCTAATTTTAACACTGCTGAAGTCAAACTATGTCTCTGAATCCAAAATTCTATGTAAAACCAAAAAAAAACCCTAAAACCTTATTTACAGTCTGATATCCATCTTTTTTTATTAGTTCTGTATTAACACATGCACCACAGCAGACGGGAGCAGGGGAGACGCTCCCTCTGCTCTCTGCCTACAGAAGACAGCTGTGAGTATTCGCTCATGGAGACAGCGCTTTCTTACAACATACAAATGAGTCATTTCAAAGCTCGCAGTTGGACAGCCAGTTCCTTTTGAATCTACGGACCTATCCTGACATATGAGTAATCTCATTTTCTACTTCAAGCTACTGGGTTAAAAGAATTATTCAGTATGCCGGGGGAGATCTTTAACTTTAGATAGATAATGATAATGAGCACAAATAAAGACCAGATTATCCTGGCATTATAAGGCTATTTCATACTGAGAAAATAACCTAATTACTTTAGAAAGAACCAATAATAAAGCACTTCAGATATTTCTCCCAAAAAATGCTCCTGTTCTCACTTGACAGAAGGGCTGCTGCCATGTTTGTGTGTAGTAAAGTGCTGGATGTTAAATAGTATTGATTGAGGAGAAAAAGATTAGGGAGGAGAGACAGGAAGCAAAAGAATACATGGTTTCTTACTGTGGAATATAAGTTGCCCTCTGGCAACATTTCGTCCTCTGCTGTTTTCGGCAACGCACTCGTACACACCAGCATCCTCTGGGCGAAAATATGGAATTTCCAGAACCCCACTGGAGTGATTGATTTTAATCTTGCCGGGGAGTGGATTTCCATCAGCTCTTCTCCATGAGATGGAAGGCACTGGGCTGCAGAGGTCACACACACAAAAAGGTCACGCTGGCCACATGCTCCTGCACACAGGAGGACTGCTGCCATGTTTGCCAGTCTATTAGTTGTAAAAGAGAATGGCTGGCCACTTCAGAAATTTTGGCAACGCGACGTGAGGCGTAGAGCCTCACCGTGCTAATGTTTCTGACACTTACTTTCCTAAGGCAAAGCACTCCAGCTTCACTGATAATCCTTTAGAGACATGAAGGGTGTCAGGAAACTGAACTTCAATCTTTGGCTCGTATTCACCCATCACCACTGCATGAGGGTAAAAGCAAATCACATCAGTCAAAACACAAAATATGGACATTCAGTTTCATGTAATTCATATTGAATCTAAGAGCCACGGCGCCGACGACACTGGCAGAGAGCGGATGTGCGCGTGTTGACGCCGTATACAACAGCGTTTAACTTAGCGGATGGATGAGTTTGGATTACATATCTGCCTCAGCTCAAATCTGAAGTGGTACACATAAACGGTCCTGATGGGGTTGAGTGTGTGTGGCAGGCTCCTTGCTGAGGGTGTGTATGTGTGTGTGTGTGTGTGTCTGCATGCATTTTTGTCAGTGCAAACTACGTTTCTGGTTATGTAAATATGTGCCTTCATGCAGACAGAGAGGTTTCCTCGCATACATAACCCTGTATAGTTCACAGGCTTTTCCGGGGTGGCGCAGAAACCTTGCTCGTAAGCAAAAGCAAAAACAGTGTCACACTCAAGACAAGCGATTTATCTCCTCGCCTCACCCTCCCCTCCCCTCCAACAGTGAGTGTGTCAGTTCAGTGCGCAAGATAACCAGGAGCCAGCAGAGGAGAACTGAGCGCGTGCTTACCGTCCCGCCGCACCACCACGGGGGTTGGGGAGCTGAACACTGTGGCGTTGGTCATCATGTTTCTCACCGCGCACGTGTAGTTCCCCTCGTCTGAGGCTTCGACTTTGGCGATGTACAAGTTGCCCGTTCGCTGAGAGATGAAGCGCCGGGCGTCCTGCTGCAGGAAGCTGCGCTGTCCATTGAAAACCCATGAATATTTGATCTCTGAAAACAAATAAAGAAAAGGTCATGACTTGTGGATATTGAGACACAGAAGAGATACACTTTCAAAAATGACCTGGACAGCAAGACCTGTGACACATAGAGAAAAATATATTATTACAAATAGATATTCTATTCATCTGCCAGAAATATAGATATAAGATGACTCAGGACAAAGCTGCTGATATTCTATATTTTTCTTTTTGTCAACAAATCCCATGGTTCTGCAAAGTACTGCCTGAGGAGTAGGGATCGACCCATATGGTTTTTCAGGGCCGGTTAGTTATTAATAATCAAGGAGGCCATTAACCAATATTTGGAACCAATATGCCAAAAACAAAACTACTAAACTGCCCCATTTATATCAAAGAAAGTAGACAAAATAACAAACAGCTCAGATACAGATGATTCAACAACTATCTACAACAATTTTATTACAAACTGAACATTTTAACCTGCATGCAGGAGGATTTATTGAAGGACTGTTGTATTAGACTACATCAGTTTTAAATAGGTGTTCCTAAAACATTGCCAAATGAATGTATATTAGTCATTATCAGTTGTCTGGAACGACTAGATTGAATTAATTGCTTGCGGTGCTGTTCTTATCTGGGAACTGCATATATGCATTGAAATACCAATGTGTATACAACTCCATATACACCTGGTAGCCTAAAGAAAGATTTTTTTCTTTAATTTAATTATATTACCATATACTTGTATTATCACCATACAACATATTTTTCCCATCCACTCTTTCAAAATGTAACCAGTAGATTTTAATTGACTCAGTCTGCACATTTATCTAAGAACATTTATACAGGAATAATTTTACTAAAATTTCTTCTAAGTAGCAGCCGCTCATGTGCTGTCGTGCTGCAGTCAGTGTAGTGTCTCATCTCCAATTGAAGTTTGGTAGCGTTTGTTGCTGCTCTGTCTTAGCCCCATTAACATTGCGGTTTTCTTCATCACAGTGTCTAACTGCCCGCTGTACATTTAAACTTACACTAGTTCTGCTCCAGCACCCAGAGCTCTCTGTTCCTTTTAGCGACTTTCACTAACTCAGCAGTTGTTTACATGCTGTTCAGATCTGCTAGCTACTTTAGCTTAGCAGTTAGCGCTAGCTGCTCTCTCTCTCTCCCAGTGTGTCTTGGAGCGTGGTGTTGTTGAAACGTCATTGTAAAGTACTGTTTTATTTATTAAAACTTAAGTGGTGTGTGTTATCTTACCTCCGAAAAAACAGCTCTGCTCATTAACCGCAGCTGCTCTAGTCTGTGACCATCAGTGTGTATAGCAGCCTTCAGTGTGATAGGCTGTTATTCGTGACGTCTAACCAATTAGATGGTGCTGTGGGCGGGACATTGCTCCAGACAGGGATAGGCGTCTGCATATGAGCCAAAATAGCCCTTTTTAGATTTGTTTCTTTTTATTGGTTGTTACTTAAAAAACGAACTAAAAAAAAAAACACAAAAAAACAGACCATTCTGATAATGGGAAAAATGCTTAATATTGCATCTGTTAATCAGTCAGGCCGATAATGGATAGATCCCTATTGAGTGGCCATAGCCTCCTTATGTAAGGCCTACAATTGTATTGCCTGCCCATTACCACAGCCACACTGACTAATGATCACTTACCATGTAATATATCCCTGACTTCACCATGCACCTTTGTTATGAGATAATCAACGTTTTTCTCTGGCTCATCTGTGTATTTCTGGATACAATACAAGAGTGACACTGCTGCACCTGACATTTTCCTTTATTACAATGAAAACAGGCTCTGTAGTTTAATTTGGCTCAGTCCAATGTACACTGTAAATATTCATGAGCCCACAAAATGTGTATTAGTCCACTGCAAATAGTCCCTCCCCCCTCTGCCAACTGCACTTCATAACTTTGAGTAACGTTTGGGGGGAAAAAAACCTGACAATGTCCAGCTGTTTTGGAAAATGGTTTCACCTTATTTCACCAACTATATATTTGTGATCAGTTTTAAAAGAGTTATGACTCCGACAGGACTGAGCCGGCCTGGGTCTTGGTGCCGGACAGGATATTGAAGTAGGAAAGTATTGAGCGAGAGAGAGAGATGGACAACAGCTGTGAGAAATAACGCAGCCCCCTTATTCTATTAAATTGGACCGCTGCGTTGGTTCAGCTGGGGTGTGGACTCAGGGGCTCTGGGTAAGATGATACAGGTTCTTCTTGCGTAGAAGATGAACCTAGCAAAACTTTTGAAACATATCTTCAGATGATCATATACGTACGTAAGGGTAAATTCCATGTACACTTTGTGACGTAAAAAAACGTAACTCTGCTGTTTTTCTAGCAATAATCAATGAAGGAAAAAAAAAAGACTGCCTTCATGATACCTCTCCAGAATAGTAAATTCCTGTCTCTGCGTATTATTAACTGCTGTGGAGTGTTTTGGCATCTTAGAAGCCTTCAGAGTCATGAATGTTACTCAAACCTGCTTTCCTGAACTGCATTTCATTGTCTCATTGGAACCTGAAACACACCCTTGGCATTTTAATGCTGTTTTCAGTCTGAACGTATTGGTTTTGACCTTTCATGGGATTCATTGAGTATAAGAGGAAAAATAGAATAACTTCTTTTAAGTATGAACCATGGCTGGTTTCGCAGTAAAATCAGGCAAAGATGGAATTCAAAAGACATGTCAGCATGCAAGTCACATACTTTCTCATTAGTCCCTAAACAGCTTACTTTACTGTAGTCTGTATTATTAGATCTGTTTTACTTCATCCTCAGCTCTTGTCATATCAATAGGATTCATGTCAAAACAAAGAATGGAACAGAAATGATAAGAATGTAAATGCAGAACTGTAACACACACAAACACACACACACACACACACTGAGAGAGAGATGTCTGCAGGGATCGCAGAGCTGACTTGGGTATTAGGGAAACCCTCTTGCATCAGGCACATGACAATACCACGGTCAGCCCCTTTTGACTCGGCAGACGACAAAAAAGTCTCACTCACTTCCTTGAGGGAAAACACTGAATTAAAATCATTACAGGGAAAGTCAGGGCAGAAACTGACAGACCTTTCATGATTAGGGACTATCAGAGACTGGGTCTGTTTAAGAGCTGCAGTCTCACAGCAACAGAGGACTTGCAGGCACATAATCTCATGTCCTCTGACAGAGTTTAACTCTCAGCACGGCTCCTTTTAGACCACTTACCTATTGATTGCTCAAGGAATCTTCCCATTTTAATAAGGAGCATCACTGTATTCCTCAAGTGGTGCATCAACATGCATTAAAGTAGCTTTAACATAATTCAAACCATATGCCAATAAAAAAATAAGAAACTATATTTGCACCATTTTTTCAATTTTAAAGCACCTCAAGCTAGCATTGTCATGTAGTGCAAATCCCATCAAATGTGTGACTACGCTCTGTTTAAGAGGAAAAATAAAGAGGGAGGCTTTTAAAGAGGGAGTGAGGGAAAGCTGGAGGGCAAATTGCTAAAGTGTGGAATCCCACGTGGCCGCAGGATTCAGCTGGAAACAGAAGCGGAGAAAGGCTGGTACGCTGGCGTGAAATTGTGCTGGTGGGCACCGAATGGCTGCAGGAGTGCAGACCACTTTGAGGGTCTGCTAATCAGCAGCACACAGACACATGAGCCGACTCACAGCTGTGCCATGGGATAAATGCTCCCCCGGCCACAGCAGCCACTAGCAGCCTTTATTACCCACAGATAACCTGCCCACATCGAGGGGGAAGAAAAAAAAAAAAATGACAGTTGGTGAAGTGGAGCACTGGAGACTTTATAGATGACAGCATGGTCACAGATCATATGGGCGAGAAAAGTGGGCTCAAGGTTAAGCAGTGTGAGGCTATGAACTATAGATGTGAAGGCACGGGTCTGAGCAGGTAGAGCGGTGGCTGATCATAAAAAAAGTTCCCCTGTCTGACAGATAAGGAGAGGTGAGTGGAAAACAGGATGTCAGAGTCTGAAAAAGAAGAGCAGCAGAGAGTAGAGGGAGGGAAGGTATAAAAACAAAAGAGACACAGCAGTGTTACAGGGAGATAATAAGCAACAGGGTGAGGAACAATAAAGATTGCTGAGGCAAGCAGGAGTGTGAGACTACAGTGGGCAATGCAGAAGAGTTAAGACAGAGAGCTGTACCTCCGTAATGGGGTGGAGGGCCACAGAGCAGAACCACAGCTTGACCCTCTCTCACCGACACCATGTTCCGTGACTTCCTGTTGAAGTTCTGCAGAACTGTTGGATACAGAATAAAAAAAATAAAAAATTTAAAAAAAAAACAAACTTTTCAAGGTCTGGCAGCTGCAATAAGTTTTACCGAGAGGTGACATCCAGGGAAGGACGTTTCATTCTACAGGATATTTCCCTGTTTGTTCACATTGCTTTACAAGTCAAAGCTGAGATTCCCCTGTTAATACCGCAGCGTGCACGGGAGATCAGGCAGAGGGTGCACCAATCAAGCTTAAGAGATTACTTTCACCTTTAATTAAATGCTGCTGTGCTGTGCGAGAGAATAAACAGCCGGAAGACATATCAATCCCAAAGTCTTAGAAATACCAACCGAGTCCCAGGGATCAAGCAAATATCAGCAGTGGTCAAATCACAACTCACTTGATTAAAAATAACCCCAAATGAAGACATAGCCTACAGTACAGTCCTCATTCCTTCATGGTTCCACTGGTGTTAGAGACTAGTATGAAGATGTCACTCATATGGCAAAGAACATTCAATCAGAGAACATCTCAAAAATCTGAAATTCCCTTCATCTGAAAATCTGCAGTGAAGATAACCTCGGACATTTCTGTGACACCACTTTTTTTAAATGCTCATTAGTACTAAAATAGTGTAATTAAAGAAGTTGTTCAAATAGCAAGAAGAACAAACATTTAATTTTGAATTATACAGGTGATTTTATCAGGTGTAGAAGATACAGAAAAGAAATGCTGTGATTCAGACTAATTAGTTAATGAAGTTTCAGCCTGTTACCATCTGCAAACATCTTATGTATTTTGAAGTGCAAAAAAGATTAAAAGTAAATTTGTTATAACTTGAGTATCTCCAAGACCCAAATGCAGACAAACTCGAAACAAAAAGGGAACTTGATGAACAGAAAAAAGTCCCAAAACTTACACAGAACTGGTGCAGAAGGAAAGAAATGGAGGTTCAGGTACGAAACTCAGAAAATCCAAACTAAGGTACCTAATCCAAAAGACTGGCAAAAACATGAGGAAACACATGAGGAAGCACATGAGGAAGCACACGAGGAAACACACGAGGGGATTGAACAGGAACAAACTGTGACAAAACAGACAGACTGACAGAGACAATAGGGAGTACAGAGATGTAAGTACACAAAGGAGGCAAGGGTAATTGAACACAGGTGGAACACATTAGGGGCTGAAAATCACTAAGGGGGGAAATGGGGAAAAGACAGGAAGTGAGACACACAAGGGGAAGGGATTTCCAAAGTAAAACAGGAAATAAACCAAAGGTCCAAATCAAGAATCCAAACCAAGTCCCAAAGTCCAAAAGAAAGAGTCCCCTCAGACCATGACAAAATTACCCAGCTAGCACAAAATCTGGGTGACATTTAGCATCCTAGCATGCTGTCATGACTTGTTGAATAAATTTAGCTAAGAAGGACTTTTAGCCTGTTACCGACTACTAATATCTACTGTATTTTGAAACTTGAAAACATATGATATAATACCTGTAAGTAAATAATAAGAGTAAATTATGCAGCTACCAGAAAATATATATATAATATATGTTGATGTGTAGCATTACAGTATGCTGGCATGCAATGTTAGCATATTTAAATGCTACTGTTAGCATGCTATGTAACTTTACGGTACTGCTTGAACTGGCATAGTTTGTTTGACACAAATGACTGTATGTAAAGATGAATGACATGACAGCTCACAGCAAAACAGACGTTGTTTTTTGTCTCAGATCAGGGCTCTACTAACATCCTCCAACACCTCAGCTTGTTAGCCAGTAACAGAAAATATTCTTCCATTTTTGATGGATAAACATGTCAGTCATTCAGTTCTGCTAATTTCATATGAGGATTATTGCAAAAATACGCCCTCTGTCATCTTTCCAGCATTAGGAAATGGTTATCCAGGCTTTCTTGTCCTCCTGCTCTCCTTCTTGCCTAAGCCAAGATGCAGTTAGTCCAAAACTCTGCAGCAAGATTACTCACTAAGGCCTCATATCAATCTCATAGCACCCTGGTTCTGATGTCCCTACTCTGGCTTCCGATCAAATCAAATTTAGGATTCAATTTGCGGCCTTGAATAATCTTGGTCCAAAATATATCAGTGAGCTACTAATGCCTTATACCTCTGCTGGGCCCCTCAGCTGTAGCTCGTTCAACACTGAAAACACATGGGGACTGTGCGTTTTGCTGTACTGTGGAACAGTCTCCCCCTGGGAGTCAGGTCCGAAAACTCTCTTGGGTGTTTTAAGCCACAGCTGAAGACTTATATTTTTCTCAGTGATGTTGTGCTTTAAGCATTATGTACACTATTTTGATTTATAATACCTCAAACAGTTTTTTTTTAGTTTCCACTGTACTATGAATCTTGATGTACTGTTGTTTTTACTCATCTTTTACTCTTTTAACCTTTTATTCTTTTGCAGTTTGTAGTAAGTAGTTTGTAATCTAGGTTTTGAAAAAAGTGCCACATAAATAAAATTATTTATACTAATAACACTTACTTACTTATTGAACTGAATATCTTTGGATTTTAAACTGTTGGTCTGACAAAGTCAAATATTTGGCCTCTGGGAACTTGTGATGTTTATTTTTCACTATTTTGTTATATTCTGCCGACCCATTAAATCAAATGTTTAATTGACCAGCTGAAGAATAGTCATTAATTAGTGCCCTATTCTAAATTCAGTCATGCATAGTATCACAACAAATCAAATTAAAAACAGCACAATGTTACGTCTCTTACATAATACACACATTCAAAAATCAGAATAAATTATCTACTCACATGCAAACTGGACTTTTGCCTCCCTGCTGACAACAGTCCCAAATGTATTGGTGGCGATGCACTGATACACTCCTCCATGGTTGATGACGTGAGGGTTATTGATCAGCAGGTTACCCTCTACAAGACTGTAGTTTGGCTCCGACTCTGTGTTTATGTCTCTGCCATCCACTTTCCACCTGTAGATACAGGAAATCACAAAGTCAAAATCATTTGGAAAAGAACCAGAAAAACATCCCACAAGCACACATACAGTTAGAAATTTAACTGCCCTCCTACATCTAATGAATGACTTCACTTAAATATTAATGTAGCAAATACAGTAAAACAGCCAGCTATCATAAAAAGCTCAGTAGAGCACATTCAATGATGCTACACGCTGTAGTCTCACCCTGTGGTCAAAGGGCAGTGGAAACACTTACCTGTAGTGCGGAGGCGGGTTTCCCTTCGCTTTGCAATTAATAAACACCTGCTTATCGTCAGTGCTCAGTGGGAAAATACTGTCACTGGGCTCCTGGGTGAAGACAGGACCGTGGCGTGTATTCTCTGTGTTGAAAAAAACCCATTAGCTGTACAATGGTGCTGAGCAAGTGACACTGAATTAATGTAAAAAATAAATCACTCAGGAAGCTTAAACCCTACACCCATATAATTAGCTGCCAACATGGCTCTATGAGTGGATTCTGCATTCAATATACTTCTTACGTACATGTCACAAGGCAGATAATGCACTGTGATGAGGGAGCAATTAACTAAAGATAACCCTGTAGCATATCAGCTAACTGGCATATACTATGCAATCTGCAACACGTGAGAGGGTGTCTTTTATCTTTCTGCCCTCACTCACAGTCAGAGCACTTACATGCACAGAGGTCATTTATATATGGTATATCCAGATTAGGGTTTACGGTGAGGTGATTTCTCTAATAACATAGAATTAACATTTTTTACCTCCACCTTCACTTGCCTGTTTATTTGTGAGCAGGATTAAGCAATACATACTCAACCAATTTGCACTGAACTTGGTGGAGGAATGAGGCATTGGCCACAGAAGAACCTATTAAATTTTGGAACAGATCCAGATCATTTATTATGAATTTTTTTCTCCTAAAGCTGGTGTATGTTGTTTGACACAGACCTTGGTGTAGAAGGTCTGTGCTCTCTGAGTTACTGTTGCACAAGTGCAGTTACAGGAAATGGAAAAGAAAAAAAAAAAGTAGTCATTATTGTTGCGCTAATGAATTGACTGTTTGCTAAACCAGCTTTCCATTCTCACACATTATCAGCTGCTGTAACAGTAAACTGTAAAAATGGTTGAATTTGTTGTTAGCAGCCGACTTTTTAATGCCTCTGTCTGACTTGTTTTGTACTTGATGTCTGTACATCAATTACAGTTCAACAAAATATCATGCTATCATCATGCTTTCAACACTTTGATGTTCTGGATTACTCATGTAAATATTATGTAAGTATTATTGTCCTAATTCAGTCACTGTGGGTGTATGTGTGTATCCCCTTGGCTTTTCAGTCCTTTAGTCCTACTGTTGTTGCATATACTATGCCTGCAGATGTTTCACAATAAAAGCCCTGTTAAGAAATTAAGGGCTTCTGTCCAATGAAACGCTAGAGGGCTTTTAATGCGTGATGCGGTAACTTTAACAGGGAAGATGGGAGCTGATCAATATGAGATTTCTTATCAAAAATATGACCAATTATACTTATCAAACAGAGGAAATAAGAAATAAAAGCCCACCTCTAATAAAGACCAGTTATCCTCTGCAGTTGAGGTAAATAAAGGCCCTGGCTGCTATTTCAGGAAATAGGGTATGCTTTATGTTGTTATTATCTTAATGATAGTAGGATAACTTGAATAATGCGAGTTACTGTAATAAGTATTGCCATAGTCTGCTTAATATGAATTATTAAAGAGCCAGTAAAGCTGTTGTCTATATGCATGTTGTTTGGGCCTGTGTGTCAGTCAGTCAAACCTGTTGTGCTGGTTAGCTCCAGCCAGACTATCAATACACAGGAGTAATTAACCGATGTTGCACTAATTACTCCCGTGAAATCTAACATTTCTTCAATAGATGCACACTCTGTCACACACACACACACACACACACACACACACACACACACACACACACACACACACACTGGTGTCCAGATTCTCCCTTTCCTCTGACACCATGCGTCATATTTCAAACTACACACCAGTGTTTGTCTTGAAAAAATAGTTCATTTCTCCTCTTTTTTCCTTTTTGTGCACTTGAGAGGATGAAATGCTTTTTTACACATCTCTAACCTTGACTAGGACAAAGAGTACTCCCTCCCTTATCATCATCCTAATGAGAGTGGGAGTCTTTGCCTCAGGTAAGGGCCTTGTTTCCACAGCCTCTGAGGGAGGTGCTTCATTTTTACCCTGGTTGCAGTGTCCTTTAAATTAAACAAATTAATGAACCTTTAATAGCCAGGCTTTTTCACCTGGGAAATGATCGGTCTGTTTGTGTGTACGCTACCCTGTAAACACACCGACTGGACTGACCACTACCACACATGAACACACTCACATACAAATTACACTTAATTAGGTTTCATTAGAATGCATACAAATGTGAGCTCAGTAGCGCGTATATACAGTATGTATGTACAAGGCAGCATGCAATGCCATGTGCATAACCCTTCATTCTCTGCTCTTGTGTTAGCAGCGTGCATAGATACACCTCAGTGAAAACTGCTGACTTGAGATGAGCTGCTACATCAATGGAAATTGAGTCATAAATAATACAATAGGTCCCACTCAATATACTAATATATACATTTAAATGTATTTGTTTGATGACTTGTGAACGGTTGGCTTGAGTTCAGTATACAATAGATCTGTCAAATGTGACTATGGACATTAAATCTCACTCGGTTTTCTAGGCTGCAAAAGTTTCCCTTTCTAGACATAAAGTGTGAGCGCTTAGTGAGATTCTAACTCCTTAGCTGTAGCTCATACAGGTATTAGGGGACTAAAGGCTAATGTTATTCTGCCTTTCTCTCAGCTGAAAGAGCATTTCATGGATCTATGTTTCTGAGGACAGACTACAGAATAAATTAGAGTTAAGAAAAGAGTTAGTGTGGATTTTTATGTGCCGCTTTGCCACATTTCATGTAAGTGGCAGCAGTCGGACATAAAGCAAGAAAATTGCATTATAAAACAGGGAGGCATAAAAAAAGAAAAGAAAAAAAAGACAAGAGTTATCAGTGCTGCTCTGGAAAGAGAATTTAAACTCTGGTCGCAGTTGACAAGTGAGATCAAAATGTCATTATAATAGTCAATCTTTTGACACGTGGCAGTTTCACAGTCTGACCTTGTGACAATTTCATCCTGTAATAACAAAATGTACAGCACTAAATTCAGATGTCTGGCACTGTGGTACTTTGCTAAGATCTTTAAAACTGAATTGGGATCCACAAATTTGGTCACGTTCTTCCTGTTTGTAGATTTTGCCCAGATACAAAAGCTACGAAAATGATAATCCCTTCTGAGACAACTATCATTACACCTTCAAATGAAGCGATAACATAAACATGCATGAGACAGAAGCAAACCTCCCCTGTGAGAGGTGTTTGTATATCAGATGTGTCATGACAGGCGACTTGAATTGGCATCTTACCAGCCAGGCACTCTTTGAGTGACAGAAGGATTAACAGTTCCCATGGCAACAACATCTTCATTTTCCAAGGTCAAAGATTCTTCTTCTTCCCATCCAGTGACCAGATAGTGAAGAATATTTCCTGGTCAAACACTCTTCCCTTTGGCTCTGGAAAAAAAAAATGCACAAATGAACACTGTGGAGATGAGAAGACACGGTCTACGTCGAGCCTTCTGGGTAAGAAAAAAAAAAAAAAAAAAAACAGGCTGCAACTTGTGGAAAATCGGTGAGCCATTAATAATTCATTCAACCAAATAAGCAGAGCCAAGATCTCATGCTGAAGGGCCAGCCAGCAGCTGATACTGGGGAGCTGATATTTAGTGTATACATACTGCTACTACACTATCTCCCAGGAGCAAGTCAAGCAAAACAAAAAAAGAAGCTCCCAGCAGCAGCAGCAGCAACAGATGAGCTGAGCATCCTGCCAAAGGTAATGTTAAGCTTTCTATAAACTGTTGGTTCAACATATTTACTCTAGCAGAATGTGTGTATTAAATGCATGGTATATACAGCATCACAGGGAATGCTAATGAGTGAAGACAGACACACTGAACTGAGGCAGAAAAATGATCCATCTGTGGGCAAATGATCCAAAGCCCTTCAAACCCCTTTAAACCATGCAGACAGACAGACCATGGATCATGATGCCAGGAACTATTGACATCCAATCATGACAAAAAAAAAAACAAACAAAAAAAAAAAAATGCTGTTTTCCTGCAGTCAGCATTACGACACATCTCTGTGCCTGCACTTCTGAGCTGAAAGCTTCTATAATCATGATTGAATGTATGTCAAAAGAGTGCTAATTGCCAACAATGATGAACCTGCAGAGAATTATCACCTCGGCTCTATGGAGCGTTTCAGCATCTTTCAGCTGCTTGTTTTGGTTTTGTGGCTCCACAATTTTAATGTCTATTTAATAGTCACTCTGCTTTTGTAAAGGAAATTTAGATACAACAGAATGTCAGTGTGTAAGGAACATAAGAGCCAGGCTGATGAGACATTCAGAGAAATATTGATCATGTTAAATGATTAATATCATAAATTGTATTATTATTATTATTATTATTATAATTATTATTATTATTATTACTATCATTGTCATTATCAAGCCATTTATTTAATAATTTATGGCGAATTACCTGTTAGCAGTTCCTGTTTTCAATGCATCCATGGATGTACAGATAACTATCACTGGGCTACTTTAATACTGAAGGAAACTTAAAAACATGATGATTCTCAGGCAGGTTTTGGAGGTTTAGGGAGTATCTTTTTTTTTATAGTCAGTCACAGAAAGAATAATATCCTTGGCATAAGTCACACTGAATCTAAAAATGTGTTTATCATGTCAGTGTGTTCAGATTTAATATAACATGATGTTCACATTTACATTTTGAAAATTAATAAAAATGATTGGTACCAATACCTACTCATCATGCAGAACAGTTGCACCCCTGGTTTCTTATGTAGATCAAAGACATGGATGTGTTGACACTATACTTTTGTAAGAATACATGTTTGCCTAAAGATTTTGTCCTAAAATTTGACTCGAATAAGCTTGTGCAGAATTGAACAAATGTCACATGTAAAATACTACAAGTATTTTGCTAGTATGACCTCGCACAATGTTCACAAACATACCGTTTCTCCTCAGATTTCTTTTGTCCTTTCCTGTCTGAGCTCCTGTAGTAAATTGTTGCAGACAGATGGATGTAACAAGAAAGGGCGAATCACTAATCACGAAGGGAAGACGGGAGAAAAAAGCATTAGCTGTGTAGAGAGTGAAGTAGATTCATTCTGCTCTCTATTATTTATTCTAAGAGGGCACAATACTGATCACCCAAGCTTCATCTTGTCAGTCATCATTATTGATTTGGTTTCCGCTTTTTTTCTTCTACTGTCTGTCTTTTTGTTTGTCATCCTGGCCGTTGACTTGTCATATGTCTCAATCACATATGGAAGGGTTGATCAATAAGGAGATTTGGTTGATAGCTTTAGTTATGAGACTCACTGGGTTGATACATTTCGCCTGTTCTGGAGAAAACCGATGAAGAAACTTTATCCATCTAACAATAGACGCTGCATTCTTTTGACCTACTTGGAGTAAGTGGAACGTTCTGTTCTTCAATAAAGTGTTTTGCCTTATGCTAATCTCGGTCTCGTTTAAAGTCAAAGGTAATTATATGCTGATTAAGGTGCTGGATGAATAGGTCTTAAGTGAATGACACAAAGCTGCATATGGTAATTTCAGTAAGATGCAAGACTTTTTTTTTTATCATGGGCTCTGAGAAACTTTTAATCAATGTGAAATGTTTTCCAGACATTTTGTCAAAACGCCTATCTGCAATCAATACTGTTATAGGCTGGCACCTGTAAGTAATTCTAAATCAATGTGTTTTAAAATTCAGACATGCTTGCCAAGTGCCATGTTAGAAGAGGAATTCAGAACAGGTCAAATTACAGTCAAATGAAAATGCCGAGAAAGTCTGTATGTTATAAGCGCTCCCATGATTTTGACTGACAGCTAGTAAACACCTCATAAATCTTTACATATGAAAAAAAATGAGGTTCTTCATATTGATTAAACTGATTTGCTAATTATGTCTTTAGCATTTCAGGGTGGAATTTGAATTGAGCGATTTGAAAACATCTAATGAGAAGCATTTACTCCTCACCACAGCATGATCAGTAGATCTAACTGCACTATATTTAACATATAACTACTAGGTAATAATGTAATATCTACATTAATGCCCACATAATTCATTCATGCATGTGAATCGAAGACAGATCATTTGCCGGTGCGAGGATGCTCAACGAGGAGCCACTGGTATTTAGTGGATTGTGAGGATATGGGAACCATTACAGCCCATTGCAGGAGGTTGAGGTTGTCTAACAAGCCCCTGCAGCCTTGAGTCATTAGCGTACGCGCTCTGCCCCAATGATCGATGTTAATTTACGTTCGCTGCAGTCAGCTATCCACTTTCAATTTCAAGCTGATCAACTTTATTTCATCTACTCGCGAACACATGTCCTTTGTTCGTTTAGCATTCAAAGTCAAGCTTAAGGAGCCTTATTGCATTTAGCCATAGACAGTAGCTATTATGCACAGTGAAGAGATGCAGAGATGCAGAGACCACAAATCCCGTGAGGTATATAAGAGAGGGAGCTGGCACTGTTCCCCTGTCAGATAGCACACAACTCTGTTTTAATGATGCATAGGTCCTTGGCATCCTTGGGGAGGATGTGTTTCTTGGTCACAGTCCAGAAATTTAAAGTAGTTGCTTGTGATTCCTATGATTAATTTATATACCCTAGAAAAAATACAATGGTAATAATTCTTGTGCCCGACGGATGGTGGTCGCAGGTGTTGGAAATACCAAATGGGATGAGGCCAAGCTAATGGTGCCTGGAAGGGAAACTATCTGTCAGGGATAATCCCTAATATTGTAACACTATTGCATAGATAATGTGCTTCCCCCGCCTGTCTCCCCAGCCCGTGATATTGAGATAGCTGTGGAGAAATGATTAAACGAGGGATGGATATTGACACGGATAAATGTATGTATCCAGGGTGAAGTATTGCCTGGTTTAATGTTTAGTGATGATTAGCTAGCCGCTCTGGAATAGCCAAACTAGGCTTTGAGAAAAAAAGGAGGGTAGAGGGTGTCCTGTGAACTCTGGTGAGCCATGTTCCACTTCATTAGGTTCTGAGTAATTGGTTAAACACGTGACTGCAGAAATTAACTTCAGCAGCTTTGCGAGAGGTAATTAAGCCTTTTTTCCCCTTTTTTTTTTTCTTTTTTTTTTCTTTTTTAACCATGATATTCATCGCTGCACAGGGCCCCCATAAAGTCATCAACCTGTCGCCACATTATCATGGCTCAGAGCACCAAGACTCTGAAAACATATAGCCTCGCTCATTGCAGTAATTGTTCAATAAACTAATACTCGTATCAAAATATGTCTGATCTGCGCAGGCTTCAGTTCACAGAAGGTGCCAGACTGTGAATATCCAGAAGAGCCTCCTGATCTCAGATTACAGTCCATCTTAAATCCGGTCTGCCACAAGGGAGCATGAGCAGCGCTGCAGCTCAGGTGGCACACTGCCACTCATTGCGCGAGTGTATATTACACATTGACTAAGAGAAGGAGGAGAATATTGAAAGCTAACATCCTGTCAATTCAATACAGACTCTGCAAACAGAAACTTACATGAGGTTTGGGTGTGGAGAGATCTTAGATGTGAGGTGAATACTTATAAACGCTCAAGGAAAGATAGATACAAAGAACCTCAGCGGTCTTTTATCAGCTTTTGCTTTTCATGGGAGAGAGTTAGGTCGGGATCTAAGATCAGCTGAGTCACACAGGGTGTTAATTTTGTTTTCATGTTTCAGATGATGATGGTTTCACATTTTAAGTGCTCTCCTTCAAGTCTTAGGTGTTTGCATTTCCTGCCGCTTTCTTGTAGAAACCTGCTGATAGATCACCTGATTGTAAATATTGGCTGATATTAACTAACTGCAATTATCAGTTGAAATTAATTACAAAAAAATAGAAAAAGCAGATCAGCAAAACAAGCGATATGTTAAAGCAGTATCTCTCCATTATATGGTTTGTCCACCAGAGCACAATGATAAGTTTAATTTTCAACTGTAATCAGCACTGCACATACTGTATCTTAGTCACATTTTATTTTAGTTTAGACATCCACAAACTCAGTGGATTCTCCACCTTCACTGATGGTCCAGACTGAGGTTCACAGCTACAGAAACTGCTAGTTTAGCTTAGCAAGGCTTCAGCAGAGGTGATGGAGGGTGACAGAATAAGGGAAGTGTGTAATTGGGCCTTTACCTCAAATACTATAACAGTGAACAACACTAGACTACCTTATAGACCTCATAGACTACTACTACCTTAATACTAGTTGTAGTTACAATGTTTCTTCCGGTCAGTACTCTCAGTACTCTAAAATGTCACTGTCTCTACATGCAGCTGCTAAAATGCTTGCAAAAC